GCCTTGCCCATCTGAAACGCTGTGCCGGTTACAGAGCTCCGGTCCGCCACCGCAGGCAGCCACCACTCTACGTCCTGTCTTTAGCAGGTTGCCCTCTTCAGGTGCTTTAAGAGGAAATCACGCACTGTTTGCCTTTTTGTGACAGCGCGCGGGTCATTTGTGGTGCCGCACGGGGCAGGATTTTTCCTTTTTAAGGAGGAATGACGTTCCCATGTGTGTTTGTGCCGCATTTTTTTTTACCCTCCCATCCACGGGCACTTAGTTTGTTTCCACCTCTTGGCCACTGTGAATGCTGCTGCTGTGAACACGGAGTGCGAGGCATAGCCTGGGGGCCCACGTTCCGCTCCTTTGGGTGTTTGCCCAGAGGTGACACTGCCAGATCATAAGGGGGTTTTATTTTTAATTTTTTGAGGACCCTCCGTTCTGTCTCCTGGGGCGGCTGTGCCAATTTGCATCCCCACCAACGGTGTGCAAGGATTCCAGCCCCTGCATCCTCCCCGACACTTCTTACCTCAGTGTCTTTTGATAATGGCTGTGTTGATGGCTGGGAGGTGACATCTTGTGGTTTGGATTTGCGTTTCTCTGATGGTTAGTGATGTTGAGCATCTTTTCACGTGCTTGCTGTCTGTCTGCGGCCTCTGTTGACCAAGGGGCGTCCATTCTGAGGCGCTGTCCTGCACCATCGTAGCGATACCTTTGGGGAGTCTTTGGTGGCAGGGCTCCAGGTCTTGGATCCTCCTGTGGGCCCTGCCTCCCCGGGCCCCCCCACCTCACAGAAGAGCTGTGTCCGGGGACCAGTAATCAAGCTGGCAGCATGGTGAGCTGGAACTCAAAGCCAAGCTGCAGCTCTGGCTTGTCTGTTGTGTGGGTCTGTGCTTTGTGGCCGCTCCTTCTGGGAGGCCCAGCGCTCTCTCATATGTCTGCCTGCCTGGGCCCCTGCTGCACCCACTCGGCCTGTCCGAGCCACTGTGCCCCAGGTCTGCACAAGCATCATTTGGCTCCAGGACAGTGGCTGGCAGCTCCATGGGGTGGAGACTGCAGCAGGTCCAACAAGAGGCCTGTGTGGCAGCTCCTGGTAGGGAGAAGCCAGGCCAGGGCTGAGACAAGGGCTGTATTGGAGACCCCCCTCCCAAAACGCCCCAGCTGGCCAGACCCCTCCTTGCCTTTTGGCTAGTGAGTTCCCCCTCCTCCCTAAACCCAACACTCTGGCAGCGGCCCCGTGGCAGCTCAGGAATGTCAACTGGTGCCTCTCCCTTTCCAAGTGGTCAGAAAGGGCTCGGTTGCCCCGACGGGTTTGGGGCCAATAAAGTCCCAAGTTCTCCCTGACCCTAGGAGAGTTTCAAGATCGACTGGATTGCAGCCCAGAAAGGCAAACCGACCTATCGAAGGCTATAGAGAAATCACGAGGGACACTTTGGGGAGGGGACACAGCTTAGACACCTTTTGGGGTACAGGAGTCCAGGCAGCGGGTGGCCAGCCACTCCCTCCTCCTTGCCAGGGTGAAGGGCCTGGGGTGGCAGCGTGGCTCTGAACCCTGTCCTTGCTTAACCTCCCAGGGACCCCGCACAGGCCTTTGTGCCCCTCATTTCCCCAGGTGCAGCTGGGGGAGGAGGAGATGCAGGTCCCCCAACCCACCAGCTGCCTCACACATGAGCTGAGAGCAGCCCAGGGCCTGGGGAGGGCACCAGGGGCCAGACGCTGACCCCTGAGGGCCCCTGAAGACGGGTGAGGGCCGTGCCCCCCATGGAGGTGCTGGATGAGAATATTTAGGATTTTCTCTCAGCAGCTTTCGAGTGTGCACTATGGTATTAACTGTAATTGCCACACTGAGCATTGGGTCCCCACAACCTGTTCATCTCGCAGCTGAACGTTTTCACCCTTTGACCGAGGGCTCCTGACCTCCTCTGCTCCTCAGCCCGTTAACCACCATCTCACTCTGAGAGTCTGGCTGTTTTAGATTCTGCATCTGAGTGAGGCCACACAGTATTTGTCTTTCTCTGACTTAGTTCCCTTAGCACGACGCCCTCCCAAGTCATCACAATGGCAGGATGTCTTTCTTTTCTCGTGGCTGAACCCTTGGTCCGCATTTGTCTGCTGATGGACACTAGAGCTGTGTCCGCATCGGGGCTACGGGAGAGGCGCAGCCGCAAGCATGGGAGCACGGGTGCCTCTCCAGGACCAGGCTTTCGTTTCCTCTGGCCCCAGAATGGGGTTGCCAGGCAGCCCAGCAGCTGCATTTGAACTTCCAAGGATCCTCCGTGCCGCTCTCCGCAGTGGCCGCACCAGTTCACATCCCCCCCCCCCCCCCCCCGGCAGTGCACCAGGGCTCCCCTCCCCCCACGTGCTGGCCGACTCTCATTGCCTCTCGTTTGGTCTTTTTTATGGAAACCATTCTGACCGGCGGGAGGTCACAATGGTTCCTCACACTGTGTGTGTTTTGGCCTGCATGTCTCCAACGCTGATTGTTTTCCTGCACCTGCTGGCCACGTGTGTGTGGTCTTCGGGAAAATGTCTACTCTGTTCCTGTGCCCATTTTTAAATCAGATTGTTCGCTTTTTTTTTTCCCCTGCTGTTCAGTTGTATGAGTTCCTTATCCTTTCCGGATCCTGACCTCTTACCAGGTATATGGTTTGCAAACACTTCCTACCATTCCACAGGTTCCCTTTTCACTCTGTTGGTTCTCTGGCTGAGCAGAAGCTTTTGACTTGGACGGCGCCGCCCCACTCGTTACTAATTGCTTCTGTTGCCTGGGTTTTGGGTGTCATAGCCATGAAACCGTCACCAACTCCAACCTCGAGGAGCTTCTGCCCTGTGTTTTCCTTTAAAAAAAAATATGTTTAGGGAGAAGGGGGAGGGAAAAAGAGAGGGAGAGAAACATTGGTGTGTGAGAGAATCCACCAGCTGCCTCTCACGTGCCCCAAACCAGGGACCTGACCCGCAACCCAGGCACGTGCCCGGACTGGGAATCGAACCAGCGACCTTTCAGTACACAGGTCGGTGCCCAGTCCCCTGAGCCACACCAGCCGGGGACCCCCCCATATTTTCCTTAAGGAGTTTTATGGTTTCAGATCTTATGTTTAGTACTTTAATCCATGTTTTTGGCATAAGTCTATATATTTCTCCAGGGCCAAGTCATACTTGGGAACCTAGCAGATGCCATGCAGTTATGTCATTCAGAGGCATTTGCAGCGGACAGCAGTGCCTCCTCCCCTGGCCACTTTCTGACCCACATCTGCCAGAGGGGGAGGGTGCTGGCATGGCCTCCTCCACCCCCGGGGTTTTCTGGTTTATTTTTTTTTCACCCATCCCTCCCCCTTTGGCAACCATCAGTATATATCTTTGTATCTTGGTGCAAAAGGGTTATTTCCTCCGAGAGGTGGCCTCCTCCACCCTTTGCCCCTGTGTGAACACAGTGGGCGCAGGGGCGTCGGCAGTGACCTCCAGCCTCGGCTGCCAGTCGCACCCCTCTGCTCTGCCCCCCACCACACACACACACAGGCTCTGGTGCAGGTTGGAGGATGCCACAGTGAAAAGGGCTTAGGCAGTTTTGCTCACAGCATCACCAGTTGTCCTGGCAACCAAAGCTTATATTCCCGGTACCAAGGAGAACCCAGAGGCCCCCTCAGTCGTCGTTCTGAGCCCTGGGTGCCTACCCCACCAATATTAGCTACAAACTGTTAGACCAAGACAAAATGTCAGCCCATCAGAAAGATACACAGTTGACCCTTGTAGACACAGGGACTAGGGCATGCCGATGCCCTTGCAGTCAAAAGTCCCCCAAAATGTCAGTCATCTGCAGTATCCTCAGGGGATGGGTTCCAAGACTCCCACAGGTACCCCAGTCCATGGAGGCTCACATCCCTGATGTAAAATGATGCAAAACCAGGGATTCAGCGGGCTCTCTGCATCTGGGAATTCCCAACCCAGGATAGAAAATACTGTTTTCCATCTTCAGTGGGTTGAATCCTCCAATGAGAAACCCCAAAATATAGAGGGCCCACCGTATGTTTACTGAAAAAGCAAAATCCCCTCGCCCCTTAAGTTCACACCCCTGTTGCTCAAGGGTCCACTGTACTCAGGGTCCCCAGAGTGCGTTTCCGAACCAGCACACCAGCTGCGTCTGGAAGCCTGTGAGAAATGCAGCTCTCCAGCCTGCGGAGTTCCCAGTCTGGCCGCTCTACCCTGTTTGACGCTCTACCCTGAAGCATAATCTTGGCCTGATTTCATCTGCCTCAGGTTGTGAAATCAGCTTTTAGGAGCAGGGATTTTTATCCCAAATAGATATGGAGTCATTTGTAGAAAACTCGATGCTGTCAAAAGAGCTTGAGTTTATTTCAGTAAAACATGGGGGGGGGGGGGCAGTAACAAGCAAGCCACCCAGCCAGGCCCCTAGTGAATGGTAGTGCCCTGTTACGAACTCCAGTGCCCCTCCATCCCTTTTGCCCCTCAACATCCCCAACCTGGGACAGCGGGAAGACCACCTGCCACAGACAGGGCCAATCCCTCAGCCCTGAAGGCGGCCTCTTTGTGCAGACGTTGGTGGCCCATTGCTTGAAGGCTGCTTATGGTCACCCTGTCACCCCGAGGTAGCGTCTCCAACTCTGTGAGCTCAAGGTTTAATGTTCAAGGATGGGTGGCTGGAAGCCCGTTATCCTCACTGTTGTTCCAAGCCTATCAGGCGCAGATGTGGGCCCCCGCGGGAGCAGCAGACAAAGGCTGTGGGTGTTTGCCCCTGTCCCTCCCCTTCCCCGCCCCTCCGAGCCCGGAGCCCACGAGTTGACAGTGACAGAGCCTTGGGCAGCGACGGAGTCCCGGGGAAGGGTCAGGCACGGTGGCCGCGGGCTTAGGGGCGGGGCGGGCCCCGCCTCTACACCGTCCTCTCCATCGGCCGGGGCGCCCCGCAGCCAATGGGGGCCTGGGCGCTGCGCCGGGATTGGAGCGCTGGGCGGGCGGCGGGCCGGGACGGGGGCGGACGGCCGGCGAGCCGCCGGCGCGGTTATAAGGGAGGAAAGTTCTGCGCTGAAGGGAGAGCCGAACGGCACACGCTCTTACGGGGGTGGCAGCAGCGAAGCGGGGCCGCAGAGGAGCGAGTGGCGGCGGAGGGAGCTCCGGAGAGCACCACCTCGCTGCCCTCCGTGTCTCGCGGGGGTCTCGGAAAGGTCCCCGGTGCCCGAGGACTTGTGCACGCAGCCATGGGCGGTGTCGGGGAGCCCAGCGGGGAGCCGGGGCCGCGCGAAGGGCCCGCGCGGCTTGGGGAGCCGCTGCCCACCTTTTACTGGGAGCAGATCCGCCTGCACAACCAGCCGGGCGACCGGTGGCTGGTCATCGAGAGCCGCGTCTACGACATCAGCCGCTGGGCACTGCGGCACCCGGGGGGCAGTCTCCCCCTCGGCCACTTCGGCGCTGAGGACGCCACGGTAAGGAAACCCGCCGCTGGCGGGGTGGAGCCTGACGCTCGCTGGGGCCCGGTGGTGGGCATTGTACCCTGGTTCTCCTGCGGGGCCTAAGTGCCCTCCCTAGCTGACCCTTAACCTCCTGGCCGGTGACCCTGAGTTGAGCTGGACTGGCAGGGGACTGATGAGGGGTCAGGGGGCTGTCCCCGCATGGAAGTCCACACAGCAGGCCGTGGACCAGGGTTGGGCTGGTGCCGGGCTGTGCTGGAGGAAGGGGCTGTGCTGTGTGTCATGGCGGAAAGAGCCTGCCCTAGAAGAGGGTCCCCGGTGCTGCTCTGAGACTCCTCCTCTCAGTTCTGGGTTTTCCCAGACCAGGCCCCTCATGCTGGTGCCAGGGATGGGGCCGAGACCCTAGGGGCTGGGCAAGGATGTGCTGTCAGGGGGCGGGGGGGGGGGGGGGTGCTGGGCAGCAAAGGCTGAGCCCGGCCCAGAGGTATGCAGGCTTACCCCAGAGCTGCTGTAAATGTCAGTCAGTGAGGGGCAGTGACTCACCTCTTCTGGGCTGGCAGCTGCCTGTGGGAGAACTTTGCCAGCCAGGCTGGGTGGGCCTCTTTGGGAAGCACAATCACCCCAGGAACAGGCTGGGCCCTGGGGACCCCGACTTCCCCTTCCGGGCTCATGTCTAGACATATCTTGGCCAAGGAGGTGTGGGGCCTGGTCCAAGTGAGACCATCTGGCTGGAGCCCAGTGGCAGAGCAGCCAGCTCCTCATGAGCCAACTGCTCATGAGCCCCGTTCCCGGGTCCCCCATGGCGGGCGTAGGAGCTGGGGCCCTGATGCTCTGTCCTTGTCCATCCGTAATAACAGGTGAGGTATTACGCACTGAGGACTGGGAAGGTCTTGCAGGGCTCAGGCAGCAAAAGAGATGGTGTGCTGTCCCGAGAGGGTCAGTATTCCTGTGACCAGGCCACGTGGCCCCTGCCCACTGCCTTCTCCCGTGGGTTGAGCGCTCTTCACAGGACTCTTTCAAAGCAAAGATTTCCAGCCTCTTTTGTCCCACTGGGCACGTAATCTGCTATCATTCTTTGGAGCACCAAAATATATGGGTTTTGCTGATCTGACAAAAAGTAGCTATAATTTTGATTCATTCACACCAGACAACTGTTGTTGTGGTGGCCGTTGTTATTTTTTTACTTGACAATCTAAGGGAAAAGAGGTCAGTGTTCCTGACTAAGTAGCCAGATATTGTGTGTTTCAAAGATTCTCACGGCACACCAGTGGAAAATCACTGTTGTAGAGAAAAGAGGCCTTTTTTCCCCCACTTCCACCCCAGGACGCTAAGGGGTGAGGGTCAGAAGTCTCCTAAAACTCTGGACACTGACAGAAAGCCTTGTACTTAGGTGCCGAGGGGCTTGGTGGTGGCCACAGATTTGAAGCTGACCATGGCCCGATGAGTGTGTGACCCTGTACAGGCCTGGAAGTGTGCCAGCGCTGCCCATGTCTGTGCACGTTGCACTCGTGTGCACGTTGCACTCGTGTGCACGTTCGTCAGGGTCTGGGGATACGAGGTGCCACAGCCGCCCCCCAGCCTGGCTCGCTCCTCAAGGATCCTGTGGATGCCTTCTCTGGCCTTGTTCAACCCCTGATCCGTAAGACAGGCTGGGGGCAGCCAAGGAGAAGGCAACAGAGTGGTCATTTATTTATTTAAAGATTTTATTTGTTTACTTTTAGAGAGAGGGGAAGGGAGAGAGAAAAAGAGGGAGAGGTACATCAGTGTGTAAGAGAGACATCGATCAGTTGCCTTTCACACTCTCCCCACAACTGAGGACCTGGCCTGCAACCCAGGCATATGCCCAGACTGGGAATCGAACCCGTGACCTTCGGTTCTCAGACCAGCACTCAATCTACTGAGCCACACTAGCCAGGGCCAGAGAGCATTTATTAACTGCATTTTCCTTCTTGCTCCCCAGAGAGAGAAGAACCCCATCCTAATGTTAGCTCTTGACCCTGAGAATTCCATCTGACAGCTTTCTTATAGATTCCTCCCCAGTGAAGTTCTGCTTCTTGTTTCCCTGTCTGTTCCCTGGGGCTGGGTCATGGCTCAGCCATTGGAGGCCCTGAGTGACTTCCAACCAGGCATGTCATTCCTTTGAGCCTCAGTTTCCTCATCTGTAAGGTGGGGAGAGCTGGGCCAGCCCGCAGTCTGGCTGGGAACAGCCCTGGGCCTCCCAGGGCTGCCCCGTCGTTGCTCCGGGGCAGTGTACACTGCTGGCTGATACGCGTGGGTGGGCCCTGCAGACTGGACAGCCCACCGGGACAGCCATGGCACGGCCACCCCTTCGCTGAGTGACCTTGCCTGGTTCCACCTGTGTTGGTAACAGGATAGAGTTGCCTTAAGCCATCTCTTAGCTTCCCTCCAGGCCCCAAACATTGGGCTGGAGTTGCTGGAATACCTGGTCTGTTTAGGCCAAAGGGGTTATGACATGGTTGGGGTTGGGGGACCCCAGTCTTTGTCCATAATGTTCCCACCAGGCAGTCCGGGGTTGGAGCCTCCCAGTGCCCTGTGTGGTCGAGCCCGGACCCTGGCCTCCTGTCCCGGGTCCTGGAGCACAGGTGGGGGCGAGGCCCCCATCTAGCCAGAGTGGTGCCCCTGAAGCCGCCTCCACCAGCCCTGGCTGCCTATCAGCTGTTTCCATGTCCAGGCAGCAGAAGCCTTCCTGCCAGGAAATTCCCAGAGTTCCTGTGCCATGAGGTCAGCCTGCGGCCATCCTGGGATACAAAGTGGGTCCCCCGGGGAGAAGGCTCTGGGCCCTGGGCCAGGCTCCTCTAAGAGTCGTAGGCAGCCTGAGCCAGCCAGGGAGGGGCACGGCCTGGCCACAGCCAGGGACCACGTGTCATGTCCCAGGACGTCACGGTGCTCCACAGTCAGAAGTGCGCCAGAGCCAGCCCCCCCGCCCCCCAGCACCCGCTATGGCTCGGAAGCCGGATTGATAGACAGTCTCTCTTTTAATCCTCTCCCCACTTTGCAGATGAGGGAACGGGCCCGAGAGAAGCAAGGTGAGTTGAAATTAAAAGTTAGATCTGGCGTTTGAACCCACAGCATATGTTCCTCACCATATGCTACACTGTGATTTAGCTGCTTATTCCGTTCACTCATTCTTTTGTAAAAACAGATTTTATTTATTATTTTTAGAGAGAGGGGAACATCAATGTGTGGTTGCCTCTCATGCATCCCCTACTGGGGACCTGGCCTGCAACCCAGACATGTGCCCTGACTAGGAATCGAACAGGCAACCCTTTGGTTCAAAAGCCGGCACTCAATCCACTGAGCCACACAAGCCAGGGCCCATTCATTCATTCTTCAATTACTGAATTATTAAACCTATCAGTAGATATGCAGTGAGCATATCCTAAGTGCCAGACTCTGTTCTCACCTCTAAAGATATAGCTTGAACCACACACACCTCTGCGAGGAGGGATTTCCTTGGTGGGTGGACTGGCTGGAGCACAGGCTCCGAGGTGGGAGCTGGGGAAACGCAGGGCAGATCCTGAGGCTCTGGAGTGAGGGTGGGACCCAGAGGGTGCTGGCCATGAACTTGGAGGACCTGGATCCAGGGCCCGCACACGGTCTCCTTCCATTCACCCAATGATGTGTGACCTGTCTGCCCTCCTTAGGCACTTCCTACAGTGCCCCGCCCCCAGGCCCCTTCCCAGCATTTCTGCCATGGCCTGTTCCCTCCCTAGGGGAGGGATCGGAGTCTCGGGCACAGGGCAGGACCACAGTGTGCAGAGGTGTGGGTGCTGGCAGCCCTCCTGTGTCTTCCCAAGGGTCCTGACCTGTCACAGGCTTCTCATGGAATAGCTGAGAACTGAGCCTAGTGGTGGAGAGAGGACCAGGAGCCAGAGGGCCTGGCCACCCTGGGGCCATAGCTGGGTCAGCAACACTTGCAAGGCCAGGGTGCTGGGTGGAGAAGGCTCTGGCACACGTGTCAGCCTATCACCAGGGACCAGCAGTGCTGGGGAGATGGGACAGCCTCCTAAGGGCATTGGTCCTTAAGCTGGGCTCTGCATCACCAGCAGTTAGCTGTGCCACGTCCAGAGATGTGTGTCCTTTGGTCTCTTTGTACCTCAGTTTCCACATCTGTAAAATGGGGTTACCGATAGCGCTTGCCTGTTGGCCTCCTGTGAGAAGTGCAGGGGAGAGGACGGGAAGGAACCTCTGAGTGCCAAGCCCGAGTTCCTGCTCTGCCTTCCGGCCCTGGACGGGGTGGGGGAGGGAGAAACGCCCAGGGTGTCCGAGGAGGCATGTCCCCACCTCCACAGCCCACTGCCACCTGCTCAGCACAGGTTTGGAAGCAGACCGAGACCACCCCAGCGGCCCTGCCCCACCCTCTTTCTGATCTGGAACGTTCCAGAATCTTTGGAGAGTGGCCAGAAATTCTCCCCACCCCCACTGTATCTCATTCATCAGCCTCAGGTTGGCCAGGACGTGACCTGCAGGATACACTGTCCCACAGCCTGTCACTGTCACCCCTGGGACCCACCCTTCTAGGGCACTACATCTGAGTGGACTCAGGAGGCGGCACATCAGGCCGGGGCTGGGCGAGGGCCTCGCTGGGCGCCGGGTCCCGTCTGCGTGCACCACCTGCACAGACTGGGTGCCCCCAGAGGCCCACGAGAGGGGCACTTGTGGTTCCTGGTTTACTGGTGAGAAAACACAGAACAGAAGGGGGGGTGACCTTTGTGGCTCTGTGGCCCAGCTCATAAGTGGCGGCTCAGCTTCCATCCCCGACAGGCTGGCTCCAGCACCGCCCTCCACCCCTATGCTGCCCCTTAACCAGCTGCTAAGGGGAGCTCAGGGCTGGGGGCAGGTTTGCAGGGACCCAGGCAGAGCTGGGTGGTTGCTGTACCCTGGAGTGGGGCGTGGGCATCACAGAAGATGGGCCCTGGTTGCTCTTTTTATTGTTATGGTTCTATCCTGCTAGGACCAGGGTTTTAATCCCAGCTCTGCCCCTGCCAACTCCAGCTGGGGCAGGGTCCGCACCACCCTGAGCCTCTGTTCCCTCCCAGTGGGATGACTCAGCCCTGCCTCAGGGGCTGCGGAGCCTCGCTCTCTGCTCTCCTATGCTCCCTCACACCCACTCTGCGGGCCCTGCCCCAAGGACACTGTCCTGCACACAGCCTGTCACTGCCACCAGCGGCATCTGTTTGGGGCATAGCTTTGACGCCAGCGTCACTCCCCACTTCGTTCCAAGGCCCAGAGCCTCCTTCAGCCTGTTAGGTGAGGGATGGGCACAGTGTTCGCACACAGACCCCTGCAAGGACGGTTTTGAGGTCACCAGTGGTAGGTGATGGGGGTCTCCTGCAGTGCCCTGAAACTCAATGAGTGTGGCCAGGAAACCCCAGGACCACCCTCCTGTCCCCCCACAGCACAGTCTCACATCAGCCAGGTCCTTGGCTGTTTGGGATGGTGACCAGCCTCACAGTGAGGACCACGCCCGCCCTCGACAGAGGAGGTCCACTGCCTCCCCTCTGGCCCAAGCGTGGCCGCTCTGGGGCTACTGCCCTGTGTTCACAAGCACAGTTGTACAGGCAGACTGGGTGTTCTGATCCAGCCTCCATGAAAATGGAGCTGTATAAGTGGCTTGACCGCTCCGAGTCTTCTGCCAGGCCCCTGGGTCCTTAAGTGGAGGCCCGGAGAGGACTGGGTCACATGGCCCCAGCCAGTGTTCCAGGAAAAGCTGTTTGCTAGTGCATCAGGACTTGGGCTGAGGCCAGGGACCCACCTTGCCGGCTCTGAGAGCCAGAAGCACAGGCTCAGCAGCACCCGCCCAGCCCCAGGAGCCGCCCTGCTCAACAAGGACCCGCTGAGCCCCGGCCCCGGGCCCCTGAACAGCCACATCTCAAAGCACGCTCCCTCAGTGAACCCCCAGGCCTGGCCTGGGTGAATGAGGACCAGGGCGAAAGGAGGCAGGGAAGCCGAGCTGGGGGTCCCACAGCACCGCAGCTCGAGGGTCCGCAGTCCCAGAGCGCCCAGGAGTCAGCTGGGCACTGGGGTGACCCCCGAGCAGACACAAGGTGGGAGAGAGAAAGGACTGGGAGGCAGGAAATCCTGGGCTGGTACCCACTGCACTTGCGTCCTGCTCTGTGAGTGTGCGCGCCTGCCGTGTGCGTCTGAGTGTTCTCTCTGGCTCTGGCTGTGCGTGTTTCTGCGTGTGTGCCTGTGTCCCAGTCCTGGTGCTGAGGTGGGGGGTGGGTGTGCCCGCGTGTGGGGAGGCACACGCTTCAGACGCTGGCTGCATCTCTGTGACAGGTGTGCCCCTCTGGGTCCTTGTGAGTGTGCCCGTGTGCCTGTGTACGTGAGCTTCAGGTGCTGCGTGCTGCCGGGGGACGTTCACGGGAAAGGACGGGGACTCAGGGTCAACCTTCAGAAGGAAAGGAATTCCCACACGGGCTGCAGCAGAGATGAACCTTGAAGACATGCTAAGTGACAAGTCAGTCACAAAAGGACAAATATCGTATGCTCTCTCTTCTGTGAGGTCCCTGGAGTAGTCACTTAGCAGAATGGTGGGTGCCACAGGCAGAGACAGTGGGGAGTTAGTGTTTCCTGGGGGCGGAGCTCAGGGTGGGCAGAGGAAAGAGTTCCAGAGCTGGTGGTGATGGTCTCGCAGCTTAGTGAATAAATACACTTAATGCCACTGAATTGCACACTGAGAAATAGTTAAAATGGTAAATTCGATGCATGTTTTACTGCAGTGAAAAAATTAAGGAAAAGGTCCTCTCTCCAGAGCTGGCCCATGCCTTTCTCTCTGCTCTCTGAGTTTAGGAAACTGGCGACCAGGGCAGCAGCGGGCACTGGCAGCTCCTCCCGGGCTTACCCCCTGCATCTGCCCACAAGGCCCCTTTTTCCCTGACTTCCCAGGGAGCTCACAGCAGCCCCGCTTGGCTCGCTTCTGTCACTGTGGCTTTTACTTCTCAGTGAGTTCCTGCGGCCCGGTGTGGGCCACTCCTTTCCTACCACACTTCTAGGGAGACAAAGCAGAGAGTTCACCGCCCAGGCTCTCCTGGTGCTGCTTCTGCCCTATGCGCTTCCTTTGTCTCACGGTCCCCAGCTTTAATAAATGTACTCTCGGAATCACCTGGACTCGTGTTGTGAAATCTCTCTGCACGAAGTCAAGAACTCATGCGCATCGGCAGACCTATTCCGGCCTGGTTCCCACCCCTTCCCCTCCCCACCTCCAAAATGAAAAAGTTAAAGGGGAAAAAAAAAAAGCCTTAGCAGTCCCAGCCAAACAGACTCACTCAGGGTTACGAGTGGGGTAAGCTGAGGCCCAAGAGCTATCTTCCCCCCTAGCTCCCTGCCAGTGACAGTCAGGGCCCTGCTGGGGCCAGCCCTCCCTCCAGCCCCTCCATCCAGGGTCATCTAGGAGAGGTCTGCACTCAGTAGCTCACACAGCTCCCTCTTCTGTTCGGAATCCCAGGGAGGGGTCCCAGGTTAGCTTTCCCCAGGGCCTAGTTTACTCCAGAAATCTCTCCCTCCACCCCCTTCCCCCACCCTCACCGCCATGGCCAGTAAGAGAGCAGGCATCCTGCAGGTGTGGCCTCTGAGTAGAGCCCATGCATGTCCTTCCCCTGGGACTGGGATGTCTGGCCATAAGTACAGGGGCCCGGCTGTCACTTGTGTTTGAACACTCATCAGAAGGTAGTAGGCTCATTAGTGAGAAAACAATAGGAGACCCCTGTTCTCAGTCAACCTTCTTCAAAGGTACTTCCTTTAGCAGCCAGCTGCCACCTACCCAGGGCACATGGGGACAGCACCACTCTAGTCACTGCTCTCTCAGCTCAGACCGCTGGGTGGCTGTGGCCAGCTCCTTAAAGTCTCTGCAAGTCCAAGGATAAAAATCAGCTGAAGAACGGTGAATAGTAATGAAGCACACATTGAGACTAGATCGAGAAGAGTAAGCGAGCCCCCGATGTGAAGTTCAAATTTACTAACACTTCGGAAATGCCCAGGCCGCTTCCTGACTGGTGTCTTTTTCCAGTCCTTCATCGTTCTTCTTGCTGTTTTCTTCCTCGAACCCCTTCACCCCTGCTATCACAGAGAATGCTAGATTATTTATTTAATTTCCTCTCTAAAAAATATATGCTTTCCGCTCCTGCTTTTAAAATAAACTGTTTCAGAATCTTCCTTACAAATGCCCAAGATCTCCGTCTATGTGTCCCTCACTGACTTTTTTCCTCTCAGTGGCCCGGTGGCCCCCGAGTACAGGTTTCCCACCCATGTCCCTCTACTCCGTGCTTGTGTTGTGAAGCGGGGACAATGTGGCAGTTTGACCCAGGCCTTATTCTGCATGCAGTAGAAAAGCATACAAGTTCCAGAAAGCTTTCCAGATTGCTATTTTTGGGAAAAGTTGAACCCAGCCATGAAAGGAACCAAGAGTCTTCCAGAGAGACCTTTCTGCAAATCCAGGTTTTTATGCACCCAGCCAGGTTTGGAGAAGGGCCCCCTGTGCTGGGCGAAGCAGCTGGGGAGGACCAGGGCAGGCTCCTGGTCCAGGTTGACCCACGTGGTGCTATTTCCATGACTGCTGACCAACCAGCTCACTGTCCCTCCATCTCTCTTGTCTGCTCCGCCCTCCCATCAACAGTCCTTCCACCTTGTCTACTGCCTCTAGGTGCTGCCAGCTGTCTGTCTGTCTGTCTGCCCACCTGACTATCTGCTCTTCCTCAGGATGCTTTCCATGCCTTCCACCGGGACCTCAGTTTTGTACGCAAGTTCCTGCAGCCCCTGCTGATCGGACAGCTGGCCCCAGAGGAGCCCCGCCGGGACGAATCCCAGAATGTGAGCAGGGCCCCGGCAGAGGCTGAGCCGTCTCTGGAGGGCCCTGGGGGTGGGCAGGTGGAGGGAGGGGCCTGGCTGGTACCTGCTCCGACAGCATTACCCCCAGGGGCCCCGGCCAGGGCTGCTCTGCCATTCCTTCCTTGGCAGGCAGGCAGCTGTAGGGAGAGCTGTGGGCACGCCTGCCAGAAGCCCATGGCCCCTGCAGAGCTAGCTGGGTCAGCACTTGTCCCCAGGCAATGCCCTCCCAGCTCTGGGCCCAGCCCCCCAATCTACAATGAGGATTTTGACGAGCTGTGCTTTAAGGGTTTTGCCCACTCTGCCTTTTTCTGCTTCTCACGTACTGCCCCCCCACCCCCGCTTTTGCAGGGAAGCCTTTGCCACCAGGCAGCAATCCAGGTCCCTCCCCAAGCCAAGTGCTCTTGTCCCTCTGACCCCTCTGGTTATACCCTTTGGGCTGGGTGTGGGAGGAATGGCTGCAGGGGTTTTCTGCAGCAACTGGGACTTTGCTCCCTCGCCTGACCGGCCACTCACCATGGCAGGTCCAGCTGGTCCAGGACTTCCGAGCCCTGCATCAGGCAGCCAAGGACATGAAGCTGTTCGAGCCCAACCATACCTTCTACATCTTGGTGTGGGGCCAAATCCTGGGCATGGAGGTGCTCGCCTGGCTCATCATCTACCTCTTTGGCTCCGGTTGGGTGCCCAGCACCGTTGCCACCCTCTTCTTGGCTATCTCCCAGGTGACCCCAGCGCCATCTTACAGCCCGAAACTGCCCGACAGACAGACGCCTGTGAACATTCTGGGTGCATTTGCCAAATGAGTGAATGAATGAATGAATGAATGACCAGCCAGGGGCCCCCTGAGGTGTGAACCTGAGGGTCAAGCTGTATTTTAAATAAGCCGAGGAAGCTTCTTGCTGGACCCTGGATGAGCACAGGGCATGGAGCCAGAGGGCTGCTGCCCCGCAGCTCCGAGTTTTGCGGGTCCCCAGACCTCCCCAAAACTGGTATTCTGGAAAAGAGGAAGCTGGTGTCCAGGGCCCTAAAATGGAGCATTCGCTGTGGGAGGGCCTGGTGAGCGGGGGATGTGGGGCTTCCTGGGGTCCTAGGCAGCCAGCGCCGTCCCCTGTGGCCGGAGCCAGGGGTCAAGGCTCTGAAGCCCGTCTCTCCCCCCAGATGCACAGCTGGTTTATGGAGCACGACCTGGGCCACTCCTCTGTTTTCAAGAAGTCCGAGTGGAACAGCCTGGCCCAGCAATTTGTGATGGGACATCTGAAGGTGAGGGTGGGGTGCGTGGTGGGCATTGAGGGGCTGAGTTGGGGAGCCGCACTGGGACCGCCCACATGTACAGGCACGGAGGGGTGGACATGTCCTGGCCCTGCTCCTGAGAACCCCCATCCCCCGCAGGGCTTCTCTTCCCACTGGTGGAACTTCCGCCACTTCCAGCACCACGCCAAGCCCAACGTCTTCTGCAAGGACCCAGATGTGGCTGCAGCACCCATCTTCCTCTTGGGGGAGATCTCTGTTGAGGTTCGTGGGGAGCACAGCAACACACACAGGCTGGAGTTGCAGCTGAGTGGGGACTGGTGGCTCCTGGGGCCCAACTATGGCCCAGCCCTAGCCCCCAACCAAGCCCCCCACTCTAGTTCCAGGCTGGGCCCCCACCCCAGAGGCACCCCTCCCCCCCTTCCAGTCTGCTGGTGATGATGAGCCCGCTTGCTAGAATCTGGGGTTGCCTCTGCCCTGTGGTCCCAGCCAGGCCCCAGCCCCTGCCCAGGTGGAAGGGTTCCGGAGAGCTGCCCTGCTCAGCCACCGTCTGTCTCTGCAGTACGGCAGGAAGAAACGAAGATACCTACCCTACAACCACCAGCACCTGTACTTCTTCCTGAGTGAGTGTCCCTTTGTCCCCACAATGGTGAGGACATGGCTGGGGTGGGGACCGTGCCTGAGCCTGCACTGTCTGCCCCATGCCTGCCGACACAGGGCAGCTTCCAGAACCTGTTGGGGAAGGGGCACTTGTTGGCCATCCCTCAGCACCAGCACCTCTCCCAGACCCTGCTCTGCCGTCCCGGCTGCTCTCTCCGCCCAGGGTGCCTTAAGACCAGAGGTGGCCACAGCCCTGCCTGGAGCTCTCAGCATTTCTTCCTGCCCTCACATCACAGTGGTCCAGAGCTCGAGAGCATTTGAGCAATCACTGGGGTAGACAGGGCGAGGACTCGAGGAGTATGGCCAAAGGGGACAGGATGGGGACATGCAGGGCTGGCCCCGAACTGCTGTGGGGACAGGGGAGGCAGTGAGGCAAAGGTCAGCCCGGCAGGCTCAAATGCTGAAGAAAGAATGTGGACCAGGCCTGGAGGGTGATGGGGATTCATCCCAGCTGACCAGGCTCAGCACCCAGTCCCACTGGTGTCCCCAGAGTAACAGAGACCCGCCCCCGCCCCACCTGCCCCACCCCCGATCCAGTGCCTGAGCCCTCGCGTGCCTTCCTTGCAGTTGGCGCGCCGCTGCTCACCCTGGTCAACTTCGAGGTGGATAATCTGATCCACATGTTGGTGTGGAGGCAGTGGAGGGTGAGTGGGCCCTGCTCCAGTCCCCTAGGTATACAGCCATGGTGGCAAGAGGCGGGGGCGTCAGGGAGCAGCCCCTGTCCACGAATGCAAACAGGTGTGTGTGCATGCAGCAGTGAGGTACATGTGTGCAGGGGGAGAGCGAATGTGTCCCCAGGCCCCGGCATGGTGTCCTTCCTGGGCGTGGGGGTCTGCTGGGCTGACTCTGGCATTAGTCTCCCACGCAGGGGTTCCCTCATCTCAGCCCCGCCATGGCACCTTCGCTTCCATGCTCAGCCGGCAGGGCAAAGCCCCTGCCCCTTTACCTGGCTGAGAAAACCAAGGCCCAGAGGGGGCAGTGAGCTCTCCAGGGCTCTGAGGCACATCAGACGGAAGGCACGGATGACCTTGGCCGCCCCTTCCGGCTGCTCTGAGACCCATGTGCCCCACTCTCTGCAGGACTTGTTCTGGGCCGCCAGCTTCTACTCGCGCTTCTTCTTGTCCTACCTCCCCTTCTACAGCTTTTCTGGGGTGCTGCTCCTCTATGTGGCTGTCAGGTATGGCAGTTCAGAATGGCAGGGGTGGGGAGCCACACACAGGCAGCCGGGGGCCTGGCCATGGCCCTCCACCCTCAGAGCCTCCCTGGGCTGTAGGGGGATCAGATGACACGAGAGTGGTGGGCTCTGTGGAACAGTGGGTGGGCTGCTCTGGGCTCGGCAGGGCAGGGAGCCTGCCCCTCCCAGTGGGGGCCTCCAGTGGGGGAGGGTTTGCCACAATCCCCCTGCACAGATGAGGAAGCCAAGGCCCGGGTCCCGTCTCAGTGGTGAGTCAGACATGGCAGTGCCTGAGCCTCCCCACAGGGTCCTGGAGAGCCACTGGTTCGTGTGGGTCACACAGATGAGCCACATCCCCAAGGACATGGGCTATGAGAAGCACCGGGACTGGTTCAGCTCTCAGGTGGGTAGCAGGGGTGGCCAGAGGGGCACCTCCTGAGGTGGGTGAGGTCCCAGTCGAGAGGGAAAGGGCCCTGATGGGGCTGCCAGGTTCAGGGGCTGCTGCAGGCCCAGGGCTTGGAGCCAGCCTGTGCCCTCACCCATGCCCTCCCCTGCCCCTGGCAGCTGGCAACCACCTGCAATGTGGAGTCCTCACTCATCTTGGACTGGTTCACCGGGCACCTCAACTTCCAGATCGAGCACCAGTGAGTGTAGGCCCTGGGGCCCAGCGGGTGGCAGTGAGTCTTTTTCTGGGGAGGTTGAGATGGGAGCCCTGGGTCCCCTGGGGGTCTGCGAGGTGAGGGGTGATGGTCCCCCTGGCACCCCCACACCAGGCATCAGCACACGCTCTCCCTCCCGCCCCAGTCTCTTCCCCACAATGCCCCGGCACAACTACCACAGGGTTGCACCGCTGGTCCAGGCGCTGTGTGCCAAGCACGGGCTTGTCTACGACGTGAAGCCCTTATTCACCGCCCTAGGGGACATCGTTAGGTAAGGGGTCATGGCGGCCCCCCTGGGTCCCCTGGCCACCCTGGCTCCCATCGGCCCCCTCTCTGAGCCCACGCTGGTCTCTCTTGAAGTGCTGACACGTGAGGCCTTTCCCGTCAGCCTGTCTGTCCTGAGCCTGTGGCCTCCTTCCCTCCCTCCGTTTCCTGAGTTCACTTACCCCATCTCCCCTGGGCCCACCAGTGAGGAAAACAGGCTGAGATCCTGCCTGCTGCCTGGCCTGGCGTGGAGACCAGAAAACAAGCAGTTAAAATAAGTCCGTTACAGAAAATGCGGGAAAGGGAGAAGTGCTTTGGCAAGAAACGAGGCTATAAAACCCACGGGTGGAGCCCAGAGAGTGGCTGGGGAGTGCCAAGCAGGGACTACGGTTTTAATCCTAGGGTGGCAGGTGGCTGGTATTGAAGGGAGAAGTGAGCAGAGCCGGGAGCAGAGGAGAGGGGTGGCCAGGGAGACAGACGTCTGGGGGAAGGGTATTCTGGGCAAGAAAACTGCAGTGCAAAAGCCCCGAGGCAGGTGCTGGTGTGTGCGAGAGCCGTGAAGGAGTGGAGCGGAGGAATCGGAGCAGAGGAATTGGATTCTGGGAAGATGCTCTGACCACTCCGACGGGGCAAGAGCCAAAGCAGACGGAGCGGAGCGGTGGGGCCTGCAGTGGCCCTGGCTGGGATGACGGGCTTGGCCCAGGGGCAGCCTTGGCAGTGGGAACAGGGGTCAGCTTCTCCAGCCAGAGCTCTCCTGCCTTTGCGCCTTGACGCCTGCTGTTCCCTTTACTTGGCCACCCTTCCTTCCATCCCGGTGTTTGAACTCCTCTTCTCCTTCATGACCCTTCCCAGCCCCATCCTCCGGGCCTCAGGCGCTCGGCCTGGCCCTGTTACACCGCCTGGCCCAGGGTTTCCTAACAAGTCGTTGACATTTCTGGCTCCTCTGCCTGACTGTGCCGGGCTACTTGTGGACAGGGGCCAGGCCTTACAAATCTCTGGGTCATGGGGCCCAGCAGAAGGAGGCAACAGACAGAACTGGGGGAAGGAGGGACAGGCCCACCCCGGCTCCTGCCTGGACTTGGCCTTGGCTCTGCCCCTCCCCCAATCTAGATTCCAGTCCAGATCTAGATTCCACTCCAGTTTACCAGAAGGTAGCCTCATGCCCCAGTCCACCTCTTCAGCCCCGCCCAGCCACTTGCCTCGGGGGAAGGGGACTCCCAGCTTTCATCTTGGGGGATAGGGGTGGATGTCTTATAGTAGCATCCTCAACACCCACCCCCACCCCCCCCTCCAGGACCCTGAAGAAGTCTGGCAACAGCTGGCTGGAAACCTACCTCCAACAGTGAAGGCAGTGCCTAGGGCTGCCACAGACAGACCTGACAGCCCCCCACCCCCGGCCTGGGGGGCCCTGCCGACCCCTGGTCCTGCCATCTTCTCCTCGGCCCTCTTGTCTGTCTGCTCGGTAGCCCCAAGGCCACAGTTGTCGGCCCAACAGGACAGGGGCTCGGGTGATGGTACACAAAGCCACACAATGAGCATGGCATGTTTTCTGGAAGCAAAAACTTAGGGAAAACTGTTATTTTTCTATAAAAACAAACCCAGATATATTATGGAATAAAGTATTGAACTTGCATGAATTTTTTAAAAGACTTAATTTCTTTATTTTTAGAGACAGGGGAAGGGAGGGCGAAGGGGAGAGAGAATCATCGGTCCGTTGCCTCTCGCCCACACCCCAGTCAGGGACCAAACCCGCAACCCAGGCACGTGCTGGACCATGAATGGAACCTGTGGCCTTTCACTTTGTGGGACGACGCCCAGCCAACTGAGCCACACCAGTCAGGGCTGAACTTGCATAAATTTTGGAGCTGGAGTCTGCCAAGATCCATGAGTTTAGGCCCTTGGGCCACGATGGTGTTGGGGGGTGGGGGGATGGTGGCATTTGGAGTTCCCCTCTGCTCTGGGTCACATCCACCGAGGGCCTGCCTTGCCCCTTCCTGGTTTTCACCTGCTCACCAGCAGCCCTGAGTGCTCACATGGGCTCGCCTCACTTTAATCCTGAGGCATAGTGGGATGGCACTGGTGTAGCAGGTGAGGGCCCAGGGCCGAGAGCCACGTCTGCAGGTGGCCCCACGGCACAGGACAGAGGAGCCAGTGTGTCCTCCACCTGCACTGGGCTCCACCCACAGCCTCTGTGATGAGGGGCCTCAGAGGGCCGTGGGCAGTGGGCCACCTGCTGCCTCAGCGTCACACTGGTCACTGCACCAGTGGGGGCGCAGCTTGACTGCACTCAGTCACCCCCAGGCTCTCCCCGTGCCTGCCTGCAGTCGCCTCTGTGCCTGAGCTGGGCGGCTGCGACGGGCCGTTCCTGTCCCTGGAGCCCCGGCTTGCCTGTGCCCTGAGGCAGGCACTGCCCTTCCCTGAGTCCCAGGCTCCTCATCTGGAAAATGGGTACGGTAGGCCTCAGACCCTGGTCACGATGGTTCTGTGGAGGGCTTCCCGTTGTCCCCTGGGGCTTCCTGAAGGTAGGAGGAGGGACAGAGGGCTGGGCTGCTGGACCCCAGCGAGGCCAGTACCCACACGCCAGCAGCGTCAAGCTGAGGTGAAGGTCCCACGTGAAGAAGTGTGAGGAATTTCAAGTAAACACGAAAATGCTGAGCTAGCATGTCAGAGGGCCTTTCTGGAATGGGGGCCGGAGCCTCCCCACCAGCCACAGGATTGTCCCCCACTCTTCGTTAGGGCCCCCGTAGCCCCTGACTGGATGTCCTTCAGAAAGCAGAAGGCACGCAGTTGACCTCCCTGAGGGGAGTGTGTCGCCTTTGGTGATGGGAGATAAAACGGGGTTTCTTGGAAGGCTCTTGGCAGTAGGCCCAGCAACAGAGCTGAGAAACGTGTTTACATATTTTATACACATAGTTCCAAGCCCTGGGATGTCACCTGCTCTGGCTTGGGACAAGTCCTTGGTTATTTCTGAGCTTGTCTGCTCCCTGAAAGGTGTTTCTGTCTTGAGAGCAAATTCCTTACGTCCAGGCAGGACCCACACTCAGGGACCCTGCATAGGCTGTTCCCTCTGCTGGGAGTCCCCCTTCCAGTGTCCACCAGTGGAAACCCTGCTGACTCCTGGTGCCACGTGGGCCCTTAGATGGCATTCCCTCTACCCCCCGCCTGGGCAGATGGTCAGTACATTTTCTGCACTGGCTTTGATGCTTTTGTCAGGGAGATACTAACACTCAGGACTCCAGGGTAGCATGTCGCCACCCAGCGACAATGCTGAGCCTGCATCGCCACTCGGAGGTCGCCCGGAGTATTGCATCACTGTGAGGCAGGCCATGCTCCATGCTGCCCCTGGTGGTGGTCGTGGACAGTACACCCTTCGTCTGCAAATGGGTAGTTGCCTAGTAACTTGTTCAAGACACTTGGAGAGACCCTCTGACCTCAAGTAGCCACCCCCAGCTATCTCCTCATTGCATAAAATTCTCCATGGGCTGGTCATCTTTGTCCTTGTCCCACTCTGTGCCCCATGCTAGAGCCCCTGGGGGACAGGGCACCACCTTTCTCATGAGCTGAGCTCTCCTTCACCTATCTGTAGGTTTCCTAGGCAGTCAGGGAGCAAGAACTTAGCAAACCTGTGCCGGATTTGTAAAGGGCGGAGGGAAGGGTCTGGGGGCGCCTCTAAGAAACCCCGTGTCCCTGCACTATGGTCTGCACAGTCTTGGGACCCTTACAAGAAACCCAAATCTGCCGAGGGAAGCCACGGCTCTACTGAGGGTCTCCCACGGGCTGACCCCGGCCGGTGGTGGCAAAGCAGTCCCACACTTACATACAAGGACCCATCTGGGGGGACTGGTGGGGGTGACAAACTTCTTTGAGAGGACAGGCCATGGCTCCTTCCCCAGTCCTTTCCCCACTACACCCCCACAGCACTAGGCTGCCCTGCTCAGCCTGTCCCTGCCCAAGCCCCCAGGGCCTGTGACTAGGGCACTGGGCTCCTGAACCACAGGATTTGGAGAAAAGATCTAAACGCCTTCAAAACTGAAGAACATTCATGACGGTGGAGAACAGGAGAGACATGAACTTTAAATCACGCATGCTGGGTGGCCACCTGCTCTGCTTCTGCGTGGCCAGTCGGGTTAGAACGTAACGTGCGGCCAGAGGAGCGCCCACATTCCTGAGGGGGGCTGTCTTCCCCCTCTGGGCTTCCACGTCTTCCCAGATAGTTGCAGGTGCCCCTGGGACGCACAGCTCGTCACCTCGATCGCAGGTGTGGGACCAGGGGCTCTTCGAGAGGCCGAGTCCTGTCCAGAGGGGCAGACCTCGCTGGCTAAGGTGCACCTGGGACAGCTGAGGAGTCTCGATGGGTCCCAGGCTGTCACCTGAGCAGCGGCAGATGAAGCCCAGCCCAGGTGGCTGCCACCTCTGCCCTGCCCCTTCTCACCAACGCCTCCTTTCCTGCCAGCGGACCCAGAGGGCTTCCAAGTGTCTTGCTGATGCCAGAGAAACCTGCCAGGCTACTGGCCACCAGGTCCACACACAGCCCAGATTACTCTGCAAGCCCCAACTAAGCCTGGCACCGTGCACACGCCCACACCCCCAACACTGACACACTGATCCTGCAGTGCTGGGTGAGGAGTCAGCACCCCACGTGCTTGCCCTGATCCAGCCACTGTCCCCGAGTGGCCTCGGGCCGGTCCTTTCCCCTCTGGTCTGTGTCCTGTGAATGGAAGCTTCAGGCCTTGGGATCACTCGGGGTCTTGCGTGTTAGGGTGTCACAACTTTGACAGGGAGTGGGGACCAGAACCCCACCATTCTGTGTGTGGAGCAAGTACCAATGAAGTGACAGGACGGTCAGTTAAGAGTGGGTATGGGTGTCCCCAGCTTTTTGACCCAACGGCAACACTTCAGGATGAGGTTGGAAGAAATCACTCAGAAGATGCAGGTGCCCACCGACCTGAGCCCTCGCAGGCACCGAGTCTACCTAGCTTGTTGGTTCTCCTCGGGTCCTGGGCTCGAGGGCCTCCAGTAGGTCTACAGGAAGGCAAGGCCAAGGGTTCACAGGTGTTGACAGGACAGCAGCCTTAAGGGCTGTGGCCCAACCTTTTCACTGTACAAATGGGGACACTGTGGCCCAGAGGGCCAGGAGGACTTGCCCAAGGCCACTCAGCAAGCCCCGGTGGGTCTCTGGCCTGGCTCAGGCTGCTTCTGCTCCTTGGTCCTGCTAGAGTCCCTGCACCCACTGGGGAATCAATCACCCGTATCCCAGCAAAGGCACCTGGCTACCCCTGCCGGCTATACTGAGGTCACGGGCCAAAGAGGGGGACAAGGGTCTACACTGGAGCTGGAGAAAGAGGCAAGGCCAGATGGGGGGCCCCTGAGGGACTCTGCTGGCTACACTGACCCTCTTGGCCCTTCCAGAGCTTGCCTCGCCGGACCTTCCCGCTGAGCCACCACAGAGGCAGGTGGTCACGGAGCAGCATGAGGCCAGAGCAAGTCCCCCTGTGCACCCCCTTGGATTTTTCCCAGGCTCGGTGGTCAAGAGCTCCCCTGCAGGACTGCCGCCTCGGACCGTCTCCATGACACTGCCTGTGAACTGGTGAGTCGTGGACGGGCTGGGACGGCGCGGGCTTCCCCATACTGTGGGGACCGAATGAGCCAGTACAGGGGCCCGGGGGCCCAGGGGGTGCAGATGGAAGCCTCGGTCTCCCGGGCTTTCCTCAGAAATTCTGAGATTCCCTTTTCCCCCAGGGCTGTGTATTAACCGAGAAGCTAGCAAAAAGAAGATGGCAGGAGCCAACTAACGTGAGGCTGTGGGCACACAGCTGGTCCCAGAATGAAGACAGAGACGGGGTTCATGTCAGAACCATGGCCTGTGGGGCCCCTCCTTGCTGCCCTCCCTTCACCTCCCTGGAGGCCTCTCGAAGCTCCAGGCAGTTTGGAGTTGGGTTTTGCTGAGCTACCCAGGGCACAGGAGGAAGGCGGGACAATGTATTTGGGTCAATTACCCAAAGTTCCTGGCCTGGAGCGCACTTGGGGGGGGGGGAGGCAGCAGGGGTAAGGGTGGCCACAGGGGAGGAGGGGGTAGGGAAGGGCAGCTCACCTCTCCACGCACAGCCCTGGCTTCGGCCCTTCCTCCACCCAGCACTGCCCCCCCGACCCCCCCTCCGCCTTAGCAGGCAGGAGAACAAGGCAGTCCACTCATCAAGGAAGTAAGAATAAAATTACTTCTCTTATTTCCAAAAAAACACAAAGGGCTGGGGGAGCAACAAGAGAGAAATTAAGATCAGTTCCCTAAGGATCCATCGGCCTCGGGAGGGACACGGCCCCTCGGGCCTGCGTGCTCTCAGCAGCAGGGTCGACGTTGCCACGGCGCTCGGTCTGCCACAGTGGGTACTGGGACCTCCTGGCCAGCCAGAGCTGGTGGACCGGACACCCTCCTCCAAAGGCCCCCACTCTGAGCTTGGCCCTGCCCTGTGCCGCCTCAGTGCTGAATACTGGTTAGTGGGTTAGGTTTCCAAATGCAGTGGCTCTGGGTCCCTGCCAGGGTGGAGGGCTCCCCCCACCCCCCACTCTCCTGTCCCCTCAGCTCCTGGCCTCCGGCCCCAAACCCTTCTCACTTGTACTTCCCACGCAACCCTCTTCAGGTCCCCCCAAATCCCCTGGCTCCTTGGAGTCCCCTCCAGGACTCTCTCCCTCTCTGCCCCACTGTCCTCCCCACAGTGGTGGCCCTGGCGGTGACAGGCTGGCCACCACGGCCTCAGTGAGTGAACTTGGCTTAGCCGGCAGCATGGCCTGGCCTCGAGGGGCATGGGCCAAAGCAGATTGTCAGCCCCAGCCCCAGTGCCACCCCGTCAGAATGTATCCTGTGGCCAAAGGTTAAAAAAAACAGTGAAAGTCATGAGAGAGCGGCAGACATGGCCGCCCGGCAGGCAAAAGAGCACTTTGGAGAAAGGTTCGCGTGCCCCTAATTCGAAGCCTCCCAACCAGGACAGACATCTGAATGGGGTGGGTGCTGGGGCTGAGACTCCAGACCCTGGCCTGCGCCCCAGCCTCTGCAGAGGCCACCCACAGGACTGCCCCCTGGGCCCGAGGTCCTGGCTCTGGAGGTGGGAAGAGTGTGGAAGACAGAGGGACGGAAGTGCCCCAGCCCTGGTCAGAGGGTTCCAGGGGAGTGAGGAGGACATTTTTCTGAGTCAGAGGTCTGAGCTGCTGGTAGCCTGAAATCACAAAGCATCTCTCTACGGAGGGCAGACCGTGGGTGCTGTCGAGGGCGGAGCCAGGCCTGCAGGGTCAGGGAGCCACCTTGCCCACTGTGACCCAGCGTCTTGGACTACACTGGGGGCTCAGGGAGAACAGACGGAGTATGAGGCCCGAAGGCCAGGCTGCAGGGGGTCCAAACGCATTTCTGGACCCCTCATCTAGCAGATGTTTAGGGGCAGAGGGTGGAGGTGGTACGGAGCCCCCAATCTCTCAGCTCCCGGCGGGGAGGGCCTGACAGAAGGCAGGCCCCATAATGGGTATTGGAGGTCGAAGTGAAAGAAAACTTGAGAGGAAACCAGGAAAAGACCAAAAATGGGACCAGTGAGCTCGCATGTACCCCAGCCTTGCGGACACCCCTCAGGACAAAAACCCACCCCTCCCTTTGGCCATCGTCCCCACCTGCTCCCCCTCCCCCACGGGCACCCGAGCGCTACAGCTTCATTTGTGCAGGTAGGCATCCAGCCAGAGCTCCCCAGACTTCTTCAGGGACCTGGGAAGAAAGCAAGGTAGGGACAATCGGGGACCCGGCGAGGAGCCGGGGGCCCAGGGAGTGAGTGGGACGGGGAAGTCTGGCCGACAGTGCAGGGCTTCCTCTCAGCTCTCCACCGAGGCAGGCGGAAGGAAGACCCTCATCCTGCCCAGAGATAAGCCAGGCAATTCCCGGTCAGGAGGTGGCCCGGTGGGGCCTGTGCCAACAGGGCTCGGCCCCTCCTGTGATTGCCACTGCCTCCACCACGGGTGGTCCCAGACACATGCCCTCTATCCTCCCGCCTTGTCCCCCGGGGCTGCAGGGACCCCCGCGCCCAGGGGCTCCCCTCACCTAATGATGTCCTGCAAGGCCCTCAGCAGCGGCTTCTCCTGGTACCGGATGCCATGCTTGGCGCACAGGGACTTCACCAGCGGGGCCACCTTGTGGAAGTTGTGCCGTGGCATGGTGGGGAAGAGGCTGCGGAGGGCGTGGGGTGCAGAGTGTGAGCGCACCCCTGCCACCTCTCTCAGCCCATAGAGGCCGCAGGGCCCCGGGGTCCCTGTCTGCAGCTCTCCCCATGTGCCCACTGACGCCGCTGGCATGTGTGTCTGTGGGGGGTTGTCTGGGGACAGCTCTGTTTGTGCTCTGGGGACTGGAAAGAAATTTGATGACTAGAGACAGCACATTTTCCTAAAAAGGAAATGGGGGGGGGTGAGAGGCAAAGGAACAGGGGCCAGGGGGCAGGAGAGGATGAGGGACGGCAGGGGTGGTGGCTATTTGAGGGCTAGCCCCTCTGCGTCCCAGTTCCAGGAAAGCTAGCTAACCCCGCTGGGCCTCCGTGTCCTTGCTAATGAAATGGGATCGACCGCCCTGCCCTGCCAGGCTCACGGGACCGAGGGAGGCGCTGGCATCAGCCCTCTGTAACTACAAAGCTCCTGCCACACATTGGGGAGGGGGCTGTCACTATGCCAGTGGGGCACAGGGCGCCCCTCCCCAACCCCAGCCTCAGTGGGGATGGCTGTGGAATGTGCTCTAGGGCTGGGGGGTGGCAGATCTCACCGGGGGGAGGGAAAAGGAGCCCCCCAGTGCTGCCCTCTGCCCAGATGGGACTGGCAGCCACTTCCCTCCCACTGTGTGTGGCCCGCCGGCCCCCACCCCTGCCCGGGCTCACTGGTGCTCGATCTGGAAGTTGAGATGCCCGCTGAACCAGTCGTTGAAGAAGGACTGCTCCACATTGCAGGTGGCTGACAGCTGTCAGGGAAGAGGGACGAGTGGCTGGGAGTGAAGAACCTTGTCTTCTTCCCCGAGGCCAGCCTCACCCGTGGTCTCAGAGCCACCCCTCCACATCACACTATTCTGCTTGGAGTCCTCACCCACCCCGGTTCCTCACTGGACCCTCCTGAAGAGCCCTGCCACCTTTGCCGTTTAGCTCAGCACCAGCCAGCAGGACACGGGCAGCCCCTGGAGAGCCCAGCACAGCTCCGGGTCCACCAGGTAGCCATATTCCCAGCAGCCGAGGACACGAACTCAGGGCCCCGCCGCCTCACCTGACTGCTGAACCAGTCACGATAGGGCTCTCGGTCAATCTCCATGACAATATGGTTCATCTGCGTGACCCACACGAACCAGTGGCTCTCCAGGAACCTGGGAGAGAGTGCTGCTCAGTGCTGGGGCCCTGGCCACCCTGATCGAGGGGGACCCTGCTGCAGTGGAAACAGCTCCCCCTTCCAACCCCGAGCAGCTGAAGGCAGGTGTAGGGGGTAAGCTGAGGTGCCAGGACGTAGGCCCAGGGCAGGCAGTGGGACCTCTGAGCCTTTCCTCATGGTCTCTCTCCTCAAAGCTCCAGTCAGCACCCATGCTGGGGGGAAGCAGGGATTAGCCAGCGAAGCTCACGCACCTGATGAAGTTGAGGAAAAGGACCGCGCCCAGGATGCCATAGAAGGGAATGTAGGTGATGAAGAAGCGGACGTAGTAGCTGATGGCCCAGGCCAGGTCCTGCCAAGAGAAACACGTTGGATGCGGGACGGCCCTGCCCTCCCTGGCACTACGTCCTGACCGCAGGTGTGTACACAGCACCTCCCGTGCCCCATGCGGCAAAGGCATGTGAGAAACAGCCCCAGGCCCCGGGTGCACTGGGCAGCAGACACCTGCCTGTGCCGGGTTCGCGAGACTGTCTTTGTTTCTAGAGAAATGCCGTGTGTTTGGCAGCAGGAAGGGAGCGGTGTGCTCTGACTTCAGGAAGACAAACAGGGATGGGGACCCAAGGACATCAGCTGAGGAGTATCCATAAGGAGGGGCCGGAGGCCAGTGGCCCTTTTGTGGTCCCGGGGGGTTCCGACAGTGAGCACTGCCCGCTGACGCCCAGCGGGCTCATAATTCCCCCCCCCCCCACGCTCACTCAGCAAGGCAGGGCAAATGCCAAAGCGCAACCTGCCCCCACCTCAGGGCAGGCGGGCACTCTGCTTCGGGCCTGCCACCCGAGTCCACCAGACCACAGCGGGAGCCCCACCCTGGTCTCGGCTCTGCCTCGTGCCCCCAGGACAGAGCGGGCTTCCTAACACTGAGCAAACTCCACCGCCCCTACTAAGCCTCCCACCCTACCCAGAGTAGCCCACACTGTTCAGAAGGCCAGGCACCCCTCTCCTTCTCCAGCTCTGGGCCTTTGCATTGACTATTTGCTCTGCCAGGAATGTGCACACAGGGGCTGGGCCCGCCCCCCCCCCCCCCGTCACTTCTCCCTGGAGTCTTGGCAGGGGGCGATCAGAGGTTCCAGGTTCAGGCTGCCTGCGCTAACTCCAGCTCCACCGCTGGCCCGTGTGGCTGCCGGTGGTTCACGTCGCTGGGCCTCAGCCCCGCTCTGCAGGGCAGGCAGAGGGCTCCTGCTGAGGCTCCACGTGGCTCGAGTATGTGCTGTGACAATAGGCGAAGCCTGCGGTATGAGCCCTCAGGACCCCAGTCAGTGCCCTGCACCGTGTCCCTCCCCCCATGGACACGGATATTCTTAACGTGCAGTTTGGATCAGGCCACCACCATCCTCAAAGCCATCTCCGGTCTCCTTCTCTGCCAGGGGACAAAGGGTAAAACTCGGCCCCGGGCTAGGACGCCGGAGCCCTCACACACCTGCGCGTTGACCCCGCCTCATCGGCAGGTCTCCTGATCTACATACGCCCGCACAGGTGTGCTCATGTTTGCTGCAATGTTTGCGTCCTGGCTGTACCTGCCTGGAGGCTCCCTCCCCCATTATCTGCTCAGCAAACTCATCCTCCAGGCCAGCTCTGCCCGGTGTAGCTCCACCAACACTCAGGGAAGCCTTCTCTGTGTCAGAGGCTAAATGAGGTGCTGGGAGCAAAAGCTTGGTCAGAAGCCCCGAGTCTCCAAGGGCAGGGCTAGAAAGAGATTCCTTCCATTATCCCACGGAAGGGGACAGGAGGCTGAGGCGGGGCACGAAGGGAACGTGGCAGTGGGGTCTCCACGCTGCCCTGGACAGGCCTCCTTCAGGAGGTGGTGCCTGAGCTGGGCCGAGCTACCCCAGAAGCCTGCCAAAACAAGAACAGTAGGAAGGAGACTAGGTGAAGAGGCAAGGATACCAAAAGCCCAGACAGGCATGTGTGCTGGGGAGGTGGGCGGCGGGCAGGAGCTGTTTCCATTCAGATTGCATGTTCCATACTCTCCAACCCGAGGTAGGGGGCGGGAGACCATGGCCAGGTCACATCCCGCCTGGGAGACCTACCTGTACCTCATGGGCAGTGGGGAACCACTGGGAACTTGAAACAACAGAACACGGCTACATCTGGATCTAAAACGGACCCCTGCCAACTGGAGGCGCAGAGGACTAGGCTACTGCAGCAGCTAGGGCATGTGATGACGTCCCCCTCACCCCCCGCCCCGCACTAGGGCCTGCAGCACCCACAAGGAGGTAAGGGACTCCCGTTCTACTTGGGAGATAGAAGCAGCTGCGTGTGGAGGCCGCTGCGTCTCCGTGAGAAAAGGGGGAGGAAAGCAGCTGCTGCGAAGGGGCCGCGGGGCGTCGGGAGGACCCGCAGTGAGCGCAGGGCAACACCCCGGGGCCCACAAGGCAGCCTCTAAGGGGCAGAGGGAGCAAATATGACAAGTCCCCCTACTTTCCATCACATTCCCTTTCACACCGTCTTTGTGTGTCCGTGGCACAGCGGTGAGCACCTGTGTGTTAAGGGAGGCGCGTGCTCAGCTCTGTGTTCCCGCGGATGGATACAGGACTACAGCGCCGCTGTTTTAGGGGCAGGGGGCGATGTAGCTGCGCGATCTCACAGAGAGGTGGGGGGGGACCTTCGGGAGGGACTTGGGAGCCGCCAACAGGGATAATTTCAGGGGGGAGCTGGTGGTGGTATCAGATCCGGTGGACCCTTCCCTCCGAGGTGGGTCCTGAGAAGCATCCCCAGGAGGTGGCCACTGGCATCGCCGCCAGAGAGGTCAAGACCTCCCTCGTGGATGTCTTTAACAGCCTCCATCCACACTGTCGGCGCCAAGGCTGGTAATTCCTAGTGGAAGGCGGCAGTCCTGCGCATTGCACGGTATTAGGACCTTCAGCTGCCTCCCTGGCTAGGTGCCTGCCCTCTAGATGCCAGAGATACCACTCGGGCCCCCTTGCTCCACCACCCTGAGCTGTGACAGTCACAACTGGCCATGTTGAGGACCTCTGCCCTAGGTCACAGGTGCAATTGGCACCTCAGCTTGCTGTTATCATAAAGCAAACCACAGCACAGGGCGTGCCTCTGCCCACGCGGTCACGGGCACCTAAGGGATCCTCTGCGGATCTCAGACATCAAGACTGGGAACAGGCAGGAGGGAGCCCTGGGGCCCGGCCTGAGCCCTAGTTTCCAGCAGGGGCAAGAGCAGGGCCACGCAGACTCCCCACCACCTGGCAAGCCCTTGCAAAGGCCAGGAGGCCCTAGCAAATTTCCCTGGCTCTGCCATCTGACCCTGTTCAGGTACTTAGTCTAATTTCCTCTCCTGCTGTCCCTGTTTAATTGCTTCGTTCCTTGGGGAACAAACGGGAGAAAAACAAGATGAAATATTCATGTCAGGAGTCATCTGCCATGAAAGCAGATAAAATGCCCCTGGCAGCACCGCCTGACCCAGCACAGCCAGGCTCTCATGCCTTTTGGCCTAACTCCCTCCAGGGCCCAGGTGAACCGGGGCAAACAGCGCTCCATGTGGGAGGAGGCCTGGGTTCAAACCCTTATCACTGGCCTGATCCAGAAATTCCACTCTTCCGGCCCACTCCTCCCCGGTTCATAAAACAGGGTTAAATGACACAGCGTAGGTGGAAGCACTCAGCTGCTTCTAGAACACCGTGGGGACCGATGAGATGCTCGCTTTTGGGGAACGAGCCGATCTTAGAAGTGAGTTGGACAGGTTCTACCAGCACAGGGTTGGCGGGGACTGCCAGAGTCCCACCAAGTCCCCAGCCGCCACACCTGCTCCTGAGGTCAGTCCTGGTCCTCTTCACGGGATCCCTGGCCACAGACCCTCTGCCCACACTTTCAATGAGAGGACGTAAGACAAAAAATTTTGAGGCCCTTCAAATACTAGACAGATAAAAGGTATTGTTATTTCAGAGACTGGTGGCTAAAGGGTGGGGGGGAGGGCCCAGGACATGGAATTGGGAGGCTGGGTTCTAGACCCCCCCAGCCCCGCCCAGCCCCTCAGTATCAGCTAGGGCGAGCACCGATGAAACTGAGTGAGGAGACACCGGCAATACCTACCCAGTGACTCCGTGGAGAGGGGAGCCCTGTCTCTGTTGCGCCAAAGCCAGCTCTGCCTCCTCGGACCGCCCCTCCCCGGTCCTTCCTCCGTGGGCACGTCCTCCTGCACGGCCACACGGAGCCAGCCCCTCTCCAGGCCCCTTCCTCTCTCTGGGGGCAGAATCCGGAGACTCCCTCCAGTCCGGCGTTGCGGGCTGCATGCAGTGTGTTCCCTAAAAGGCCCGGGTGGAAGCCCTGACCTCCAGGACCTCACAGCGTGGCCTGACCTGGAGTCAGGGTCACCACAAATGTAGTTCATTCGGACGAGGTTATCCGAGACGCCCCTAATCCACGACGACCAGGGTCCTCATAAAAAGGGGAACTTTGGGTACAGACACCGACACCACCGGGAAGATGACACGAAGAGACACGCGGAGAGAGTGGCGGCCGTGCACCAGCCAAGGAGAGAGGCCCAACCAGACCCTTCCTCGCAGCCCCAGAAGGACCAACCCTGGCCACACTTCAGCCTTGGACTCCCAGCCCCGCTGGACTGGGAGATGGTACAATTCTGTTGCTAACAGAGCTGCCGCTCGGTCTGTGGTGCTTCGTTCTGCAGCCTCGGCAAATTAACACACCTGCCGTCTCAGCCGCCCCCCGGCTGCTCTGTTTACAAACCTGACGGCTCTAGTTTGTGGGGCTTAGAGCCCGCATGGGACACAGGAAGGCAGTGGCCGCCGCAGATGCGTGGGCCCAGTGTGGCTCCGATCACAGGGCCTTCGGGAACTTTCTGAGGGGGCTCTGCAAAGGCAGTGGCTCCCCAGGGTGGGGGATCTTTAAGCAAGGAGAGGGGTGCCACAGCCTGCCACCTCCTGGCAGCTTCACAGCAGGTCCCTTCCTGAGAGAGATAAGGCAGCCGCCCCAGGAGGAGAGGCCTGGGGCCCCACAGGGCACAGCGGGGCAGGTGCAGGCCCCGGGGCACCCGTCCAGACTCCGCCCTCCCCGCACCCCCTGCCAGCTGTGCCCCTGACTCACCACCCAGTCTTTTCGGACGATCATGGTCATGATGATCTGGTACTGGAAGTACATGGGGATGAGCAGCGGAGGCCCGACTGTGGGGGAGAACAGAGCAGGGGTGCTCACAGGTGTCCTGTCCCACCCGGTCCTCCCCGTCCCTCCTGGTCCAGGCTGCAAGGGCAGGACATGTGGGCCCAGCACACTGGCCTGCAGCTCAGAGGGGCCCACCGAGGGGGCTGGGAGCAGATGACCCCCTACGCTGCCCTCCACCCAGGGAAGGGGTGTCCGTGGGAGAGAATAGCCGGAGTGGGGGGTCTGGGGTAAGGTGCTGGGTGCCCCGCACTCACTCAGGAAGAAGTACTCATGCTGGTGGTTGTAGGGCAGGTATTTCAGCTTCTTCCTGCCGTACTGAGGAGAGAGCAGAGACCATGAGTGCGAGGCTCCCCGGGGCCCAGCCTCCCGTGCCTGCCCCTGCCCCTGCCCCTGCCCCTCCTCCCGCCCTGCAGCGGCCATCTCGCCTTCCACTCAGGAGGCCTCTGTCCCTTTGCTGTCAATCTGCACCCTCAGCCCCCCAAGCGTGGGCCCCTCCGGCCCTCTGGGCTCCCAGCTGCTCCAGCTAACAGCAGCCAACGTTCCCCGGGCCCTGGCTGGGCGTGCTGTCCCCACGCTCGTGCCGGCCTCCACTCATGCACCCCTCCCAGAGTCCACAAGCTGGCACTCCTGAAGCTGAGGCTCAGGGTAGAGGCTAAGGGTCAAGTCACTGCCCAAGGCCACACGAAAATGGGCCCAGCTGGGATCTGGACCTGAGAAAGCTGACCCAGAGCCCCAGTAACAGTCAGCAAATAACTGTTGGCTTCGTAAATGCACAACCAAACAACTCACACAGGGGCACAGGCCCCCAGGGGGCTGACAAAAGCTGCTGAGTCATCCTGGGGAATCTCTCCAGAGCCCGAGGCAGGCGCAAAAAACCAGGCAAGGGCCTGGGAGCATCTACCTCCTTGGAGCCTCCTGCAATTCCCAAACCTAATCACTCCACCCAGGGCACCAGTCCCCTCCGCATTGGAGCCCGCACCCCTGGGCAGGCCGACGCCTGGGTACTCTGAGAGAGGAGGGCCTGGGGCACCCTCGCTGTACAAAGCTGTTAGGCACTCTGTGAGTGAGCCGGTCAGAGAGGCACAGCCCCACAGGGTCCCAGCAGCCCTTTAATTCTAAAGCCCAGCCCTCGGGGGCCCAGCCCAGGCTGCTCCTTAGAGGCGAAGACCAAAAGATGGTGCTTGCAGGGGGCACCTGCTCTTGCTTACCCTGCCTGGGGCTGTGCGGGGAGCCTGGACCAGGGCCAAGACCCTGCACAGGTCGCTCAGCCCTGCTAAGCCATTTGCCATCCACATCACTGGTTGTTAAGAACAACCAATGAGTCGTAGCTGGTACGGCTCAGTGGACTGAGCTCTGGCCTGGCCTGTGAACCACAGGGTTGCAAGTTTGATTCCCAGTCAGGGCACATGCCTGGGTTGCAGGTCAGGTCCCCAGTAGGGGGCGAGTGAGAGGCAACCACACATTGATGTTTCTCTCCCTCTTTCTCCCTTCCTTCTCTCTCTCTAAAAATAAATAAAATCTTTAAAATAAAAAAACTGAGAACATGGGCCTAAAATGCCAGGCCCCAACCCCAGGGGCAGTGCCCCTCAGCAACCCTTCCCTGGACCTGAAGGCCGGAGCCAACGATGTCCATCCCTACTTACTGCTGGGAAATCAAAGCCAGGGAGATAGACAGACCCTGGATGTTGTCCAGGCCAATGCCCCTTGTCGTCCAGGTGAGAGCAGGGAGGAAAGTAATTGTCAAATTACAGGGAGGGTCTGTGGACTCCTGAAAGGAGAGGCCCCGGACAGGCGCAAAGCCAGCTTGTCCCCAAAACACGCACCCTGACACCAGCAGCCACGGCCACAGCACGCCCACTGGGGGGCCGCCAGAATCGATCCCTCGGTTCTGTGCGGCCTCCTGTGCTTTGGTAGGGGTCCTGCTCATCCCCAGAAAGTGTGTTCATTTGCTCAAAGATGGTCATTAAGGCCGGGGCTGAGGCTGACCTTGGAGATGTCCCAGCTAGGGAGGTCGGGGGAGGGAGCCCGGAGTGGTCGTTCTGGGGGCAGGGGGAAGTACGGCTGCCCAAGGGTCTGGGAGCAGACAGCCCACGGGACAGGCCCCTGGGTGCTGCTCCAACTCCCTCGCAGAGGCCGGGGAAGGGGCCCACAGGCCCTGCCTTTGTAGGCTTCTCCGGCCCTGGACAGCAGCCCTGCCCACAACTCTGCCCCGCAGGTCACCCCAGGGAAGGGGCCCAGGCTGAGAGGACTTTCTCGAGCTGGTCAACACGCTAAGGCCTCAGGAACCTGGGCAAGGCAGCAGAGACCAGAGGCTCCCCGCAGAAGGACTCAGGGGCGACAGAACTGCTTGGGGGGGTGCAGGGGAGTCACCTGGGAGTTCATTTGAAGCTGCATTTGCACAGAAGCACACTGTTTTCATTTATGTTTGGTGACCTTTGTGGGGGACAGTGACAGGGATGACAGAGGCTGATGCTGCCTCCTACACGTGTCCCTGCAGCGCCCCAGGATGGCCCCGGAAGGTCCCTGCCGATGGTCGCGGCAGTGGCAGGCCTCTCCATCAGTCCCCGACATCGCCGGGATTAGGGAGGCAGGGGCTCGAGATCTGGAAACAACTCGTTATCAGAGGAAATCGTTTCACCACCACCCACCCCACGAGCTCTTAGCTGTCAAGTGGACGGATGATGGGCACTTCATAGGGTTGTGGAGGGACCGGCGGGTGAAGTGGCTATAGAAGCACTTTGGGACCATGAAGGGAAGGCTGGTCGAGGTTACGCGTGCGCCTGTGGTGGGGGAGGGGGCACACCGACACGCCGTCCGTCCCCCCGGCATCAGGGTGTGGCTGACCAGCCTTCCTCTGGGAGCCAGGAGGCACAGCTGCGGCTGGCGGAGGCCAAGCCACGGGGGCGACTTTCTGGCTCTGGTCTCCCCACAGTCCGTTCTTCACCGACACCCAGCTGCGTACGTCACGGGTGCCAGGAAGGGGCGAGGGAGGTGTTTTAGAAAGTTTCATGTCAGGAGGGGGGCTCCTGGCTTCTTCCTCCATCAGAATAAGCTAGAGTGACCCCACAAACACACACTTCCCTAATGTGCACCAGGCAGTGGCCCTAGGCAAGACCCCCCAGGACCCAGAAGCCCCGGCTTCGAGCCCGAGGGCCAGGGACGGGACCGCAGCGCTGCTTCTCTAGCCACAGCCTTGAGCGAGTCACTCCACTGCTCTCAGCCCCAGTTGTTCGGTCTGTAAAGTGGGTGTGCGCACAGCTCCCGCCTCAGGGCTGAGCAAGGCTCAGCAACCACCTTGCCGCCACGCAGTGCTCAGCACAGCGTCTGGCCCTGGACTCTCTCGGCGAGCGTCTGCCTTCATCCCCACTGGGACCCCACACCTCCCCACTGGAGGACAGCCCTCACCACACACAGGGAGAAAGCTCAGGGCAGTGGGGCCATCGGGGGGAGACGCAGGGAGGACAGTGGGTGCCGGCACCCAGATGAGGTATGGGTGCCTTATTGTGTCCAGACGCCAAGCAGAAGATGGTGGCGCACAGGGCTCCCTTTGACGCATTTCCAAGCTGAGGCTGACTGGGGCCACAGGCCACAGGCGTGCGGTGGGGGGCAAGGAGGCGTGGACACTGCCAGCGGGGCAGCTTGGCTTCCTGGAGGTTTACAACCCTTTGCCCCGGTTGGCCAGCCCTCCCGGGCTCAGCCTCTCGGAGGCCCACATGGCCAGCCTTGGATTATAGGTTTGGATGCCAGGGGCATGTACAGGGGACTTTTCAGCTTTAGAACAAAATGTCTAAGGAAGGACAAGGGCCTTCTTTGTCTGTTCCGGAGCGGGGGAGGGGAGCTGTCGCAAAGTCCAGCCTCAGCCTCTGGGAACCTGCAAACACAGGAGAGAAAGAGCAACCAGGCATGCACGGCCGGCAAAACCCCACAGCCCAGGCCACGGGCCTGAGAGGAGCGCCTGGTCACTCCTAGGAAGGACTCGCCCCTTGACCCACTCACCAAAGGCTGCCTGAGCCGGGAAGCCTGGCCGATGAGCGGTGGGCAGGCACGGGTGCAGGGAGAGCGTTCCAGGGGGTGGAAAAGCAGGCTCTCGGGCAGAGGTGGAAACACAGTCACAGGGACAAGGCCCCCATGACACGGGCAGGAAAAAAGGACAAGCAGTGTCAGGCTGCCACTGAGCCATGGACACCACCACTGTGCACGCCTGTCGTGGAAGCTCCAGGAAGGCCACAGAGCCCACCAGAGACAGGAGCGTGCAGCTACCACAGATGAAGAGGCTAAGTTTTCGTTATTTTCAAGGATGCGATTGTCTACCCAACAGAAGAGCAACTAGAATCACAAAGAGACATAAGTGGACACTGCTTGGACATCAGACAACTAGCTAGCCAAATGCAGCTTCCTGCACACCAGAGAAACCCTGATCACAGTGACGAAAATGGCGAATATCCAGGATTAAGAAAAAGAAACTTGCCCTGGCTGGTGTAGCTCAGTGGATTGAGCGCAGGCCTGCAAACCAGACAATCGCGGTTTGATTCCCAGTCAGGGCACATGCCTGGGTTGCAAGCCGGTTCCCTGCAGGCCAGTTCCCAGCAGGGGATGCACGAAAGGCAACCATACATTGATGTTTCTCTCCCTCTCTCCTTCCCTTCCCCTCTAAAGATAAATAAATAAAATCTTAAAAGAAAAAAAGAAAAGAAAAAGAAACTTGCACGAGATATATAAAGTATGAAAAAAAAGTATGAAACCTTTCCAAGAGATAGGAAAGAAGACTTGAGTAAAGAGAGAAAGTTGCTTTATTCCTGGATGGAAAGGCTGAATATAAAGGCGTAAATTCGCCCTGGAAATTCGCCCTGGCTGGTGTGGCTCAGTGGATTGAGTGCTGGCCTGCGAACCAAAGGGTCGCCAGTTTGATTCCCAGTCAGCCTGGGTTGAGGGCCAGGTCCCCAGGAGGAGGGTACAAAAGAGGCAACCACACAGCAATGTGTCTCTACCCCCTTCCCTTCTCTAAAAATAAAATCAAAGCCTGGAGGGGACGAGCAGTGTCCCCCGGATGGGGGAGCCAGGAAACGGGCTGCCTCCAGAGAAACGTGAAGGCAAGAGCATCCTCTGAGCCCAGTCCCACTGGACAGAAGTTCAACATTCAAAGGTGAAACTGTAAGACACTGCAAATAGTGCCTACGAAGAGAAGAACTGCCTAAGCAGAGAGGAAATGGAAGGGCTCTCCGGGGGCTGGGGTGGGGGGGGTGGGAGGGGGTGAACAAATACATCTTGCTACATCAACCAAGCAAAAAATTCTCCCGGAAGTCAAAAATAAGAGGAAAAGACAGGAAACTAACCAGGGGGCGCCTGCTTGCATCTCTGAGTGCCTGCTGGGCTGCTTTGTTTACGGTCTGCGGAGGTAAGAGGGCCTCCTTGCTCTGGGGGCCGCCGGCCCTGGTGTGCTGTGTGGGTCTGCTGTGAGACAACTGCCATCAGACCGTCGTCACCAGAGTCCCTTCCGGGGCAGCACGGTTCTGTGGACACCAGGGCACAGCTTAGCCAGGACCCAGAAACAACCCTCCCCCAGAAGTGTGAGAGGAGGATGGCGAGGACGGGAGCACTGTGGCCCTGGCCGAGGCGTTTCAAATGCTACCAGCGACTGTCACCAGACCCCCAAACCTCCTGGCCACCCCCTGCCCCAAAGCCAGCCCTGGACAAGCGTCTAGAGAGAGATGTCAGAAGAGGTTTCATGGGCCACCAGGCAGAAAGACGCCTTCCTGCCAGCGTGGTTGGCGATACTCGAGCTTGTTAGAAACGAGGACCATCTGTCAGGACAGCCAGCAGCTCCACAGCGGGGTGGGGGCTCACCCACCGAGGGAAGCTTTTGTTTTCGCTAGCCAGGGGCCAAGTTCATCAGGTCCACCCCCTAGACACCACTAATCAAAGCGAGCAAAGTTTCCTAGAAACTCAAGCACCTACTTCGGCACCGAGGCCCCACACTTCCACAGCGCTGAGTTTTGGCTAATTTCCCCTGCACTGATAATGCCACCGAAACCCACATTTCTGCTCAGATACCCTCTCAAGTGGACAAGAAACGGGAGGGGAGGGACAGACAGGCTCTGCCCCCCTCCTCCCTGCAAGCCTCGGGTGCCAACACTGTTGGGAACGGGGCGAAATTCAAGACTCTGCTCCTGATGCCCGCCGAGCCCCTCCCGGTGTCCCGCTCTGTGAGGCTGGGATCCTCAGCTCCGGTTCACCTCAGCCATGGAGTTCCGAAAATCAAAGCACATGTAGGTTTTGGGGGTAAAGTGAACCGTTACTAGGAGCTGTCCCGAAAAAGGCTCCACCTTTTTTTTTTTTTTAGATTTTATTTATCCTTAGAGGGGAAGGAGAGAGGGAGAGAAATATCAGTGTATGGTTGCCTCTAGTGCATCCCCTGCTGGGAACTGGCCTGCAACCCAGGCATGTGCCCTGACTGGGAATTGAACCACGATCCTCTGGTTCAGACCTGTGCTCAGTTCACTGAGCTACACCAGCCAGGGCAAGGCTCCACTTTTTTAAAAAAATGTATTAAATGAAGACATTCTTCAAATACACTGGGAGAGCGCTTATTAAAAGGAAATTAAGAGTTAGCCACACCAGAATATCCTGCCTTAGGAAACAGCACGGGGAGCATTACAGAACAGGAACAGAGCGGAGCCCTGGGCAGCCCCAGGCGGAGGCCGATGGACCTGGACTCAGAAGGAGGTCCATGCTTGGTGAGGCGGCAAGTTGCAGGGGAGAGTCTCTAAGTTTTCGCTTTAGCTCTTGAAAAGCAGGTGTGTGTGCAACTGTCCACACGTAGGAAGCATAGGGTGGGCTGCCACCAGCCGTCACCTCAGGGGCTGCCACAGGGGCAAGGCAGGAACGGTGGAGGTCACAGACGCCTCGTTTGCAGATTGGGTGTATTTCTGAGCCACTTAAATGCTTACGATAGGTATATTCTGTATTTATAATTTTAAAATGTACTAATATTAGCCGTGACCAGTGTGGCCCAGTGGGTGGTGGGTCGTCCGGGGAAGGGAAAGGTCACCGGTTCAATTCCTGGCCAGGACACACACCCGACCCTCTGGGTATCGGGCCAGGTCCCCGGTTGGGGGCATGTGAGAGGCAATGGAGGACAGTTTCTCTCCCTCTCCTCCCCAGTCTATAAAAATAAATAAAAATAAAATTTTAAAATGTACTAATACTAAAATAAGGCCGAGTGGAAGAAAAGGGCGCGACCTGTGTGACCAGGGGTCGCCACACCCGCAGGCCACACCCCTGGCCACACCCCCTCCTCTCACGGAGGCTCGATTCCTCTGCTGGGGAAGCCGGGGGCGCGGACTGCGGCCAGCTCCCTTCCAGGGGGAGGCCTGTGGCTTTCCAAATGAGCTTTCCTTGAGCTGGCCTTTGGGGACCAAGCTTGAGCCCTGCCAACTGAAACCAGCTCCCCCCCCGCCCCACCCCCGGCCGGTGGAAGGGGGGGCAGCCTCTAACCAGCACTGACGCTCTGATAAGAAGCCATGTCCATCATTTACACATGAATCTGCTCCCCAGAAACTGCAGCTCGAATAATTCAGGGCATCCAGGAGAGGTTTCCGTGTACACCTCGGGTCTGGCTGAAGAGTCACCCCACAGAATCCCTGCCCCGATCCCCACTCGGGCCACCAAACGCTTCCCAGGTCGGCGCCCTGCCCAGCCCCGCCACTCACACACCTCGATGGGCTGCCACTCGCCCAGGACGAATACGTGCAGCATGTTCACGTCTGGGTCCTTCTGGAAGATGTTGGGCTTGGCGTGATGCTGGAAGTGGCGATGGTTCCACCAGTTGGCGGAGGCGCCCTGTGGGGGGAGAGGAGGGTGAGGAGCACAGTTTGCCAGGGGACCTGACAACGAGGCCTGCCCAAGGCCAGTTCCTAGGGGCCTGGCACCTTCACCACTCAGGGCTGACTTCCCTGTCACACCAAAGGCGTCTGGCCCTGGCCGGGTGGTAGCTCTCTGTTGGTTAGAGTGTGGTCCGGATATGCCAGGGTTGTGGGTTCAACCCCCAGTCAGGGCAAATGTAAGAATCAACCAATGGATGCGAAAATAAGTGGAACAGCAAATCGATGCTTCTCTCTCTCAAAATCAATTAAAAAAAATGTTATCTGCCCACAAAAGAACGCAGCCCTGCCAGTACCAAATGAAGGGTGCTGGCGGCCCTGCGGCCAGGACTCCGGAGTGGAGCCGAGTCACTGCCTGCACGCGCCCAGGCCCATTGGCCCAGCTGAGAGGTGGACGGACGGCGGGTGAGGGCCGAGCCGAGGCCCCACGCACGCGGCCAGCAGTCCGGCCGGCGTGGAGGGCTCTGTGCGCTCCTCCAGCCCCAGCTGCGAGCCTCCACGCCCTGGTCCTCCGCACGGCTCCTGCGTGCCCATGCCAGGTAAGGAAGTGCTTGTGGTGTGAACCCAAGGGACATGAGAGGAAACACGACCACACAAAAACTTGTATGTGGATATTCCCAGCAGCATGACTCAAAATAACCAAAAAGGGCAACACGACCCAAGGACCCAGCAGCCGAGAACTGGACTACGCAGAACGGGGTGGACCCGTCCAGCGGAGTGCTGTTGGGCCTCCCCTAAAGGGAAGGTCGGTACTGACACACCACGACGGGGATGGACCTTGAAAAACCTCAAGCTCAGTGAAAGAGGCCAGTCCCAACAGACCACAGACGATTCCATTGACACGAAATGTCCAGAACAGAGAAATCTGGAGATAGATGGGTGCTTGCCTGTGGGTTGCCGAGGGCTGGGGTGGGCGAAAGGGATGGGAGAATTGGGAGGTGGTAGCTAGGAGGCAGGGGTTTCTTTTGGGACCCATGAAGATGTCCCCAAATTCACCGTGACGATGGTTTAAGTCATTGGCTTCTGCACTTCAAATGAATTGTATGGTATGTGAATGGCATCTTAATAAAGCTTTTTTAAACAAACAAGGGCCTGGAGCAGTTGGCAAGAGACGCCCTGCAGACAGACCCGCTGTACACTGTGGGGCAGGACTGAGTCAGCGGCACAGCCCGGGAGGGACTGACCGACTCGCTAAGGAGCGCGGTCAGAGCTTCCTGGCTCTCCCACGCAAGTATAAAAGTAAGGTTCTCGGAAATAAGCGGCATTACGTGAGTGTTTATTTCCAGGCCGTGAATCTGTCTCACTGGCTCAAGCTCCCCACACAGTTGGAGGGTGTGTCCCTCCACAAAGCAGCCCAGTGACGCACAGAGGGAAACAAGACTCTGACCCTTCACGTTGGGACTTCACGGGTGGACTGTTCCTGGAGCCATCTGTGTTCTGGCCAAGGGTCTGGCCATCTACAAAAAGGCCTGATCTCAGAAACAGACATTTTGCTTGGGTGGGAATGGCTCTGAGCCGCGGCGGCCCTTGCGGGCGACTTCGGGCACCTGCAGGCAGGTGGGCTGCAAAGCCCATCAGAGCAAAACCAGGTGTTGGGGAGCGAGAGCTCAGAGGGCCGAGGACTCGGATAACACACTCATCTCTCTGGCCAAAAGCAACCAAATCGCAGCCCTGGCTGGTGTGGCTCAGGGGACTGAGTGCCTGCCTGGACTGCACACCAAATTCCTGAGGAGATTGAAGTAGAAAAGTATCTGGGACAAAAACATTCAGAGGCGAGGCATGCTATGAGTAAGCTTGGTGTTTGCAGAATGCGTAACCAGGGGAAAGCAAGATGGGCAGGCCAGCAGGCCAGCAGCCAGGAGGGGCCAGGCCGCACCAGCCCGGATGGAATGACAAAACGTATTTTGATGGTGCCATTCCTTTCCTGTGATTCTCTTCCGTTCCTCTTTGCTGGGCAAAGCCCTCCTTCTGCTTCCCGAATCCTCCCCCCCAGGAAGCCTCGCTCGCCTGGGAACAGTGGCCCAGCCCTGGCGGACATGCTGCCGGCCCTGGGAATGAAGTGGGGAAGGGGCCACTGTCTATAACCAGGGAGTCAGGGGTCACATCAGAGCGAGATGGGGCCGAGAGGGCTGGCCAAGCTTCAGGAGGCCGCTCAGGACTGCCTTGGTCTGCAGGTCGGGGAGAGGGGGCCAGGCCAAGTGAGGGCGCTGTACCGACAGAGGGGAAGAGTCCAGGTGAGGGCCTTGGGGATGGAGTGAGGGGAGTGTGGGCGGTTCCAGGAGCCAAAGGAAGGCCCCTGGGCTGGGCCCAAGCCCCAGGGTGGCAGCCAGCAGGGCTGGGCCGAGCCGCATCGGAGCCAGAGGGAAAAGGAGACAGGTGCACCCTGGTTTTAACAGATGCAACCTCGTCGACCATCTTTCCCAAATCTACTTTTTGGCTCACCTCGTTTTCAGCTGCAAGGATAGCTAAGTGACCATCTTAAATGATTTGATGGTCAACCAAGGGACCGACCATCTTAAATGATTTTCAGTTAACCGAACAGAAAATTCTGTTTGGATATAAATAATATATTTAAAGTTCACATTGGGGCTTTTAATACACTGACTTTCCAATTTGTAAGTATTTGTTAACTACTTTGATGCTCTGGGGAGGAAAACATCAACCACTGAACAGAGAACACGAGCTTTTCCTTCCGCATCCGGTTCCAATGTGGCTCAGCATCGCCCTGATCCTTATTTATTTAAAATGTTGGTATTCTGAGCCCTGGCTGGTGTAGCTCAGTGGACTGAGCATGGGCTGCAAACCAAAGGGTCTCCAGTTCGATTCCCAGTCAAGGCACATGGCTGAGTTGCAGGCCAGGTCCCCAGCAGGGGGCGCATGAGAGGCAGGCACACATTGATGTATCTCACCCCCTCTTTCTCCTTCCCTTCCCTTCCCTCTAGAAATAAATAAATAGAAATAAGAAATCTTAAACAAATAAAAATTTTAAAAGGTTGATATTTTGTTCAATGTGCATTTTGGGGCATTAATTTTGATTTTTCAATACCGCACTGAAATGTTACCTCGATTACCGAGGTAAAATTTTTTGGTGTTCCCCTAGATTCTGCGCCCTGGGTGAATGGCTCACTTGCCTCGCCCTAGTCCTGGCCCCAGAGGCCCGAGACAAGACTGTGAAAAGGCTGGCAGGTTCCGGTTTCCATCCCTGGATGCTGAGTCTCTTTGGCACCAGTCCCTGGGGCTTGCATTTTGTCCTAAGTGCCATGGCCAACAATGAAATGGTTTTAAGCCGAGGCATGGCTGCTTAGAAGTGTCATTACATAAGATCAGCCTTGGAAAGAGCTCTCCATCGGAAGGGAAGTGACGTGGCTGAAGGAGGACAGGAAGTCAGGATGGGGGGGGGGTCTCACGTGGATCCTGCGGCCGCACAGGCCAATGCTAAGAAAACAGGTCCCAGTGCCCTTTTCACTGTCCTCGCTGCCTGTGCTAAAACATCTGAGGTGACTGGGCTCCCTGCAGCCAGTCTCCCTCTGTCCCAGCAAAGAGGCCAGAGGAATGGATGGCCTTGTAAGACTGGTCTGGCCCTGGCTGGTGTGGTTTAGTGGACTGAGCATCAGCCTGAGAACCAAAAGGTCACTGGTTTGAGTACCAGCCAGGGCACATGCCTGGGCTTCGGGCCAAGTCCCCAGTTGGGGCATGCAAGAGGCAGAAACATCGACTGATGTTTCTCTCCCTCTCTTTCTCCCTTCCTCCTCTCTCTCTAAAATTAAATAAAATCTTTAGGGAAAGAAAAAGAAAAGACCAGTCTGCAGCAACATGGCCACCAGGTACCAGAGCAGTTCCGGGAGCGCTGTGATGGCCTTGGCTCGTGGGCGCCCCTGGGGGAGCTGCATGGCCTCGCCACTGGCCTGGACGCGTCCAGGGCCCTTCAAGGACCGAGGGCCAGCGGGATGGGAAAGCGCCTCCCAGCCTGGCTCCCGCCCAGGATCTGGAGACAGGACAATCTGGAGACCGGACGCAGCCCATCTTTGTTGATTGTTGCTGCGTGGGGATCACGTGGGCTGGGAGCGAAATGTCACTTTCAACCCCGACGAGGGATTTGCCCCACAGAAAAGCACACGAAGTGAAACAAAGTGATCTGCTATGAGCACCCGCTCCTCTCACCCCTGAAATTCTGGAAAGAACCCAGGTTCTCAGACCGTGTCAGGCTCAGGGCCAGGCCAGCCGCTTGCTGCGGAGCTGGTGACCGGTTCAGCGGACGTTCACCCCCAGCCAGACCTGGAGCCCGTAAGCCAAGGGGCTTGCTTGATGCATCTGGGTTGTAGGAGGATTAAGTTAACCCAGACGCGTGGCTCTTCCCAAGCTGGGATGGGGAGGGAAGGGAGGGCGGAAGTCTTCAGGACCCAGCCTTTCTCAGGAAGCAGCTGGAGGCTGAAGGGTAAGAGGCCTGGGGCAGAGGATGATCTGTTTCAGGGAGAGCCTGGTCTTGTTTCCAAGACCAAGGAGATAACGCCACTCAGACCAGCACAAGGTCACCCGCCGGCAAGTCCAGCCAGGGCTTTACGAACTTGCCACTTCCATGGGCCAGCCTCCTCCTCTGTAGGGTGGACAGAACCGAGTTTTAAACACATCTCTGAGTTTAAAACACATCTGACCCTTTGGCTCAGCTGCTCACTGTACCTCGTGACGTCCCCTTATCTAAATAAAGACTTCTATGAGGACAGTATCTCCTTGTCATCCCCCCCCAAGCATATCTGAGGCTGCTTATAATGAAGGGCTCATGAAATGATGATAAATGACACGCAGTGGGAGGGAGGAGACAGCTCACAAAAGCGAGACTGAGGACGGTTCCGAGGGTTACTTTGGGTTGCCCAGGAGGAGACACAAAGAATCTCGATGCATCGAACGGCTCCCGTGGCCCAGAGACAAAACCACTCCAGCTCATCAAGAGACGCTGCTCCCCCACTGGCCCCACACTAAAGGGAATTTACTAGATGAGCCCTTAGAGAGGGTGTGAAGGACATAATCAGCGGAGCCAACAGACACAAGAGGCATATGCCTGTCTTCCTAGCAAGGCCGCGGGTTCTCTGGGTCTGGTGAGAAAGGGAGTCAGGGCTCGCAAGGCCGGAGAAGAGGCGACCTGGTCTCAGAGTCAAGTGAGACAGAGTGTCATCAACTGCTAACCGATGGGACGGACGCCCAGGGCTGCTGAGCTTTACCTTTAAGTGGCCAATGATGAACTTGTGGACGATGTGGTTCCACGTAGACTTCTTATAGACAGAGAGGTGGCCATAATCGTGTTGCAGCCATCCAGCTTGGGCCTGGGGAGAGAGGGCCAGGGGTTTTCACTGTAGCCATGCACAGGGACAGGCCTCTGTGAGCTGGGGGAGCCAGGTGAGGGCGCCACACCTCACCTGAGAGGTACAAAGGACAAAGGCTGTGATGATGGTTGGAATCCAGCCATTGCCGAAGTAAAAGACGATGAACCAGGCGATGCTCTCCATGACGATGATGTGGGCCAGGAGCAGCAGGAAGAACAGGTGGTTGCTCTTGAACAGGTTCATGTCCTCGGCAGCCTTCCTCAGGGCCCGGAAGTCCTCGGTGATCTGGGACTTTGGAGCGAGAGCACGGGGAAGGTGTAGGTGTCAGCCACCAGCCACGGTGCACAACAACTGCTGTCATTACCACGTACCTGGGCCTGGACCTGGCACAGCCCTGGGGACTGTGCATTTGTCCACAGCCAACTATTTAAGTGGCAGAGAAAGGATTGGACTTCGAAGCTTGCATTTTGTACAACTGCGTTCTCGGCAGCACTATTTACCATCGGCAGAAGGCAGAACAAGCCAGAGATCGCTGCTGGATGCATGCGTAAACAAAACGAGGTCCGTCTGGATAGCAGACTGTTCCGCAGCCCTTATGAAGGAAGAAGACGTCCACCCTGGCTACTACAACGTGGGCAAACCTCGAAGACACCCGCTCAGTGCGGTGAAGCCAGACGCCAACAGGCAACTGCTTGGCTGACTCCACTCATCTGAGCGCCATGGACAGGCAGACTCACAGACAGGACACAGACTCGCAGACAGAACACAGGACGGCGCTTGCCACGGCTGGGGTGGGGTGACTGGAAGCCACTGCTCCCGGACGGGGGACAGTCTCAGTTTGGGGAGATGAGAAAGTTCTAGAAACTGACCGTTCTGGAGTGGCAGCCGCACAACAGTGGGAAAGCCCCTCAAAGTCACTGAACCCTACACCTAAAAAGGGTCCAAATGGTCAATTTTATCTTATGTCTATTTCACGTCCCCCCAAAAGCTTGCCGTTTCCGGTACCTGACAGGGCGGCAGCCTTGTTTGGGGTACCCCCTCGGGCCTTGAGGAGGTGGAGGTGGGGGAGGCACAAACACAGAGCAGGACAAAGTCCCCAGAGCTGGGAGGGAGGCAGGAGAGGACTGGTGGGGTCAGGGGCAACGGAGGCGGACCCCAGGATGGCTCTGAGGAAACCAGTGTTTGGTGGTGGGTGGGGGGGATGGGGGAAGGCGATAAAGAGAGCTGAGGCCTCTACAGGACACACCCAGGGTCCTTTGATAGGCAAATAGGGTGACTGTGGGTGGAGGAGGCCAAGTCTGGCAGCTTGGGTGATAAGTGAAAAACCCAAGAGTATCTCTGGCAACCACTTAAGCAGCAGTGAAAGTGGGGAAACAGGGTGGGGGCTACAGGAGCAGGAGCAGAGTGGGGGGTGGGGAGCCTGTGGGCCTCTGGGGGCTGGGGAGAGAAGCTGCCTGGAAGGGGGTGGAGGATGAAGCCACATCCTCCCCCAGACAGAGGCCAGACAGAAGGCCGGCTCCAGGAGGGAAAGATGAGGGGGGCAACAAATGTGGAGAGCCAGTAGGAGGGGAGGTGGACCTCTGGAAGACAGAGGGACCAGAGGGAACAGCCCTCTGCCCTGCCAGGGCCCACTGCGGCCCCAGAAGTAGAGAGGCTGGGCATGAATCACTCCAAGTGGGGGGTCAGGCAGAGCCTGGGTGGGGTGGGGGGCTCTGAGTCTTCCCTGACCCCAGTGGATGGGCGGTGGCTCCCCCCGGATTGGCATAAAGGCCCCCTGCCCCACACCTAGCACTCTGCACCGACGGGTGGGGTCCTCATCTGCCCGCAGACCCTCCCTTCTCTCCATCCTTGGTCTGGTCTGACTCACGTTCTTGCCCCGGTCCTGGCTGGGCTCCTCCGGGGCCAGCTCGCCAATCAGCAGGGGCTTCATGAACTTGCGCACGAAGTCAAGGTCCCGGTGGAAGGCGCGAAAGGCATCCTGGGGAGCAGGGGGTAGGAGATGAGTGGGAGCCGGACCTCAGCCTGCACCCCTCACCAGTAAACCTCTCTGTCCCTCCCACGCGCTGGCCCCAGATGCTCCTTCAGGCCTCGCCAGGGGCTGATGCCTCAGTGCGCAGCGCCCACCGTGGTGCCACCCAGGCCTCTGCCAAGGCGAGGGGCCGCTGAGCTCACGGAAGGTGGACGCGCGGACACAGCGGCTGCCCCTGGGCGGGTCAGAACAATGCGCCCCTTCCAGGGAGAGACACAGCGCGCCCGAACCCAGCTGGGCAGGGCCAGGGCAGGACCTGAGCCTCCTCGCCTCCTCTGCGGGGTGCCTGGGACCCCGCGAGGGGGGCCACCGCAACCCCCGCACTTGGCTCTGCATGAGAGGAGCAACGCTGGAGACTACGGCGGTGTGGAAAATGTGATTAGGAGCAATATTAAACAAACAAAAAAATGCAGAATTAGGTAAAATCATTTCTGAATAAAGGCTTTTTCAAAATTTGAAAAGGTATAGAACTAATTATGAAAATTATAAAAATAATTTTTACAGAAGGCTCCGTATCACAGGTGAAGGTGGTGGCACTATGGCTTGTTTCACTTTCATTACTTTCCATACTTCCTCTAATACTGCTGCATCGCTTTTAAAATTGAAAAAAAAAGCTAGCCATTTTCATCTTTTTCCAATTCCAAAGTAATAGTGTGCATCATTTTGGCAAACTGAATAAATAAAAGGCCAGAACAGATTGGAAAATACATACTACCCAGGGAGTGACCCCCGTCACTGGTATTTTAGCGTATTTCCTGGCAGGTTTTTTTTCTATGCATATTCTGTACCCTCCATACGTTGTCTCATAACAAGCCTGCCTTGGAGATGAAGTCCCACCCAGCTCCCCTGACGGGCTGCCGTATGAAGTCCCCGCGGCGGACAGTGTCCGCCTGCATGCATCCAAGCTCTGGGCCTTTGCCAGGGCAGAGGAGCAAGTCCAAGGTTACAGGAAACAACCAGGAAAATCAACGGAGGGGGGAAAAAGGGAGGGGGTGTGTGGGGAGGAGGATGTCTAGATTAAGAGACTGAATAAAGAGGTGATACATAGATATCAAACCTGTAATGTTTGATTTGAAAGACTCCATGGGGGAGGTGGGAACCCAGCAGTTATACAAGACAATTTTGGGGAGTTGACTGAGAAAACTGGAATATGGAATGGATATCTGGTCATATTAAAGAATTATGCCCTAGCTGGTGTGGCTCAGTGGAGTGAGCACCTGCCATCCAACCAAAGGGTGGCCAGTTGGATTCCCAGTCAGGGCACATGCCTGGGCTGTGAGTCAAGTTGTGCTTCCAGTAGGGGGCGTGAGAGAGGCAACCACACACTGATGTTTCCCTCTCTTTCTCCTTAATAAATAAATACATCTTTTTAAAAAAAGAATTATTACTGCTTTTATTGTTTGGTAAAGGTATTATGATGATGTGAGAGAACGCCCCAATTCTTAGGAGAAGATGGTGAAGAATTTAGAACTGAGATGGTATATGATGCAGTTTATCTTCCTACGATTCAGCAAAAGCAAACTGCACACGCCCAGTGAGGGGGATGCAAATGTGCCAAAGTGAAAACTAGTGACTCTTGGTTGAAGCTACACAGGTGTTCGCTTATTTTTACCTGTTCTGTATGTTTGGAAATTTTCACATTAAAGCGAAAGGGAAGGAATGGGACCTGCTGACAAAGCACATAAACATCCCCCCCCTCGCCCTCGCTGTCGCCCCCGCCCCCCCCTCGGTGGCGATTGCCGGTCTTCTCCCATTTCCTTACTGCCTCATCCCTGGCACCAAGTCCTTCGCCCAGTCTCTGCTCTCTCTGTGTCTAGAACAGACTCACAAAGCAACACTTCGTGCAGAAAAAAACAGGGCCCAGAGTTTTTTTTAAAAGATCTGTGCCCCCTGAGCAGAAAAGGGATGGTGGCAGAGCGTCGGATTATGACTATTTTCAGAAACGAGACCGGCTGCTATTCCAGGGGTCCTGGGCGGGCAGCAATGAGGCCTGGGATCCAGTACTGACCAGTTGTGCCCACTCCGGGCCAGCTGCCCGTACCCAGCCTCTGCCTCCTCCACAACCAGCGCAGTCCCTCCCTGCTCCCAAGTTCCAAGGCCCTGGGAAAGGCCCAGCACGGCTTCCCCAGCTGGGCCCAGAGTGTTGCTGGTGTTGCAGTGAGCAGAGCCGCCTCCCCAAGTCGGAGCCTAAAAGAGCCCTTTCATTGGTCCTGCCCACATCGGACCACAGCCTTTGAGACACAAACAGGAAGTCCTCGATCAAGGCAGCTTCCTGAGAAGCAACTGCCTGGGCAGACAATTCAACGGTTGCTCTCGACTCTCGACTTTTCGGGTAGAATTCAGTGCAGCGATCTGCAAGCGTGCTCTCCCCACGTCCAGCTCTCACTGCCGTCACCAGGTCCAGGCCATACCTCCAGGCCCTTGCCCAGGCGGGGGACCTACCTGGTGGAGCTCTTGGTGGGGGGGGGTGCCGAGCCAGTATCAAATGCAGGTTCGCCTGACTCAGGGGCTGTGTCCCCACACGCCTGCTGCCTCCCACCAGCTTAGAAAGCTGAGCGTTGCTGGCTCCGGCAGCTTTCTGAGCGGGTCTGGTGGGAACCCACCAAGCTCATCCCCGCAGCAGACCTGTGCTCCTGTGCTCAGCTCCCCCCTCTGCCTGGAGTCCCGTCCTCACTGTGCCCTGTGGCCGGCTGCCTTGGGACACGCCTCAGAAAGGCTTTTCCCACCCGCCCCAGGAGAAGCAGCCACCCTCGAGCCCCACAACACTTTCTCCGAGACACGTTTTAGCTTATTCGCAAGTTATCAAGGTCACAGGCTATATTATGTGTAGATGCTCCTCGACTTACGGTGGGGTTATGTCCCAATAAACCATCGTAGGCTGAAAATATCGAAATTCGAAGATGCATTTACGATGACACCGAATCTACTGACCAGAGCTTCGCCCCGCCCACCTCAAACGTGCTCAGAACATACGGGGGCCACCGAGGGGCACCAGCAGCTCACACAAAGCCCGTGCAGCGATAAAGTGTCCGACACTTCATGCTGCTCTCACTATGCATGTCACTTTGGCGGCACCGAGGATTTATAAAGCCAGTACATCTCCAGTCAGGCCACCTCTCACTGGGGAGCATCTGTGCTCATGTTTTATTTGTTTATTCACCTTCAGAGAGAGGAAGAGGGAGAGGAACATTGATGTGCGATAGAAACATTGACTGAGCGCCTCTTGCACATGCCCTCTACTGGGGGCCTCACCCACGAGCCAGGCATGTGCCCCGACTGGGAATCGAACCAGCGACCTTTAGTTTTGCAGGAGGACATCCAACCCACTGAGCCACACCAGTCAGGGCTGTGCTCTCACTTCTTGTTGTACTTTTTCTTTAGTTTTATTATTTTATTATGCAGTTGATTAAAAGTCTAAACATAAACATCCCCCTCTCAGCCCCCCCCAATGAGAAGGGTGTTCACATCTTTCTTAAGGTAGATCTTGCCATTTTCTACGATAAGCCAAATTGGTTTGCATACCCTGAATATACTTCTCGCTCCTCAAATATTTGTGTTCCAACTACAAAAATGGTGCTGCAAAGAATATAGAAAGATAAACGAGATGTTCTCGCTCTTGTTGTAGTACAGACACTTCAGATAACCGAGAACTGCCAGGACACCAAGTGGTGGATGGTACCTAACTAAGGAAGGGAGTGTCTGATACCTGTAACAAGGAGCTGAATTAGTTGCTGTAATTAACACCTACCGTAAAACAACTAGTGTGTAAGGACACGGCACATGAAACTGTGAGACCGCATGCGCCAGGCAATTGCTTATACCTGTTTCCAGAAAACACGTATTTTCTGCACCCTTCCTTAATAACTAAAAGCAAATGACAGGAGAACCTATTGCCTGTCTCCATTACAATACAAGCTCCAGCCCTGGCTGGTGTGGCTCAGTGGATTGAGCGCCAGCCTGTGAACCAAAGGGTTGCCAGTTTGATTCCCAGTCAGGGCACATGCCTGGACTGAAGGCCAGGTCACCAGTAGGGGGCAGGCAAGAGGCAACCACACGCTGACATATTTCTCTCCCTCTCCCTTCCCCTCTCTAAAAATAAATAAATAAAATTGTAAAAAAGCAAAAGAATATGAGCTCTACAAGGCAAGGCCACACCCATCTTGTTTGCAGCAATAACTGGGGGGCCTATGACAGAGCCCAACCAGAGGACTCACAGTATCCGCGGGGACCCGGGGACCCAGGGCCCCATGGCTGTGCACCTCCCCGCCCCAGGAGACTGTGGCACCCAGCAATCATGTTCAGACTCTTCTGCCATTTTGCAGAACTGGGCTTATCCTTCTGGAGCGGCGGAACTCCTCACCATCCCCAGCTCTTACACACTAGTGGTTGGGAGAAGGGCCGCCTGCTGAAGTTAGGTGGGCTAGCCACTGAGCCACCGGCTTTATGTACACAAGCCACTAATCTCCCCCAAGTTCTGAAACAGGTCCTGTTTTAGGGAGATGATGAGAAGAGACCGAGGCAGACAAAGCTACCTGCCCCTGGTCACACTCCAGGTGTGCCTAAGCTCTCAAGTTTTCCACTGTTAATACAAAGTCCTCAGTCAAACTGAACTTCCGCTTCCCCGAGAGCTGACTGCAGCATCTCCCCCAGCCAAAGGGTCACACATGTGCTGCACACACTTGGAGAAGTTTCCCGATGGCTACAGAAGTGACTGCCAGTGGCAAGCCCAAGACAGGGACCACCCAAAGGTAGACTCTGAAATAACTGGAACCAGGCTCTATCCTCCTCGGATAGGGAAAGAAGCCCGACACTTTCCAGGAGCAGCCCAGGGGCACAGGTGCAGAGAAAGGAGTGGCAAACAGGTTGAAAGAGCCGCCGGGAATGTATTCCCTGTAGACTGGGGGTGGGGGAGTGGGACGGGGGCAGGCTGCAGGAGGGAGGGCCATAACACCCCGATTCTCAACTGGAAGACAAGTGGATGTCACACGGCCTGGCCTTCACAGTTCCTGCTTCTGCCATCGCCTGGCTGGCTCCAAGGCCAGCCAACTTCTGCAAGACATACTCCCATCCGATGCAGCCCCATCCAGGCGGTGCTCACGGCTCCTCTGCACTGAGCCCCGGGTGCCTCAATCTGTTTCTGGCTGAGTCCACCTTCTCTGCAGAGCAAGACTGGACTCTAACCCAGCTTCACACATCCGGGCATGGAGCCCAGGACTCAGAAGTGCGAGAGGAGCCAACATCGGGCATACAGGGTTGCAGGCAGCAGCCCTGGGAACCAGGACTCTGCAACACGTGGTTAGAGAGGGAGAAGCAGAGGGACCCTGGGTGCCAACTTCATTTCCAAAGCAAGCAGAGATGCACACAGGGCAGGGAGTCTCTTATGCCATGTCTCCTCCAAAGGAAAAAAGCAATGGAGGCCTGTGGGGGCAGTGGTCTGTGCCCAAAGAGATCTTGGCAAGTGCCCCCAATGCCAGGTACATGCACTGCCAGGGTGCAGGGCTGGGGGGGTGGCGGTTGGGAAGGGTGGGGCTACACAGGAAGTAGGCCCCAGGCAGGCTGCCTGGGCAAAATGGGATTATAGTGGAGAAGCAGGAGGACTCTGCTTCCCTGGAATCTGCATAAAATGCCAGGAATTCTGAGCTCCGCGTGGGATCTCCCCTGAGGCCGGAGCCAGCAGGAAGGGGGCTCCTACCCAGATGTAGCTGAGGGGCTGCAACTGCCCTCCAGACACAACCAGATGAGGAAAAGCCAGTAAATGCATTTTCCTTTTAAAAAAGGGGGCCACTTAGGTTCCCCTTCTTCACACTTTTTTTCTGGTTTACTGAGCTCCCCACTGTGCATGCTGGGAACATACACGAGGCAAGGATCCCTCACGTCTGTAGAGCACTCTCCGGTTCGAATAGTGAGCTCACACACAGCCCACCGAGCCTGATAATAAACAGCCTTCCCATTTCATAGATCCGAAAAAGGGAAGTTCAAGGTAAGTGTCTTGCCTAAAGATTCACATTCAGGCCCTCAAACCCCTGTCCTCTGCCTTGACCGACATCCTCTTGCTCCGTCTGAAGGACAAGGATGCCTTTTATTTTCAATCTGTCGCCTTTTCACAAGGACAGTGTGGGAGCAACTTAAGAGATCGAATGAATCCTGACCACTTCTCTCCCTCCCCGGGTTCTAAGAGGGGACAGGACGGGAAAGTGCTGGACAAGGGGGGGTTGGGGGCTGAAGCTTGGATCTACGAGCAGAGGGTTCACTTCACGTCCCAGCTTGAGAGGAAGGAGGGAAGCAAACCCAGCAGATGTGGTCACCGTGGGTGGATTACTCATCCTCATGCCCGGGCCCCAGCTCTGAGCCATGGAGACACCGCACACATGTGACGAAATTGTAGTTGAAGATTACAAGTCCCCAGTGGAGAAAGCCTGGAGTGGTGGGACTGGGCCAAGAAAAGAGCAGACACCCTTGGGACTCGGGTGAGGGTCCCTTTTGCCCACAGTGAAGCAAGACCAGAGAGGTGCTGGAGGAGCAGAGGAAGAGAGATCCGAGATGAAGTAGGGAGGCCGCTGTGATGTCAGGCTCTCAGTTCAGGCGCAGGGGCTCCTGCTGGAGCAGGTTTTTAAACCTAAGTAAAAGCAGTGAGCAGTCAGAGCCGCTTTGAGCTGATCCCAGTCTCGGGGAAACGACTTAGTAAGTCTGAATGTGGTCTGTAAGCTCAAAAAATTAAGCAACTTTTATTCTGACAGGCAATGCCAAGAAGTTCTTACTTCTTTGTTTCCTTAGTTGTTTTCTTATTTTTTAATCTGAGGATACGTTTATTGGTTTCACAGAGGGAGAGAAACGTCAGTGTGAGAGAGACACACGGATCTGCACGCACCTGGGCAGAGAGGACCAGGGATCGAATGGGCAGCCTTTGGTGCACTGGACGATGCTCCAACCAACTGAGCCACCCGGCCAGGATGACAAGTTCTAACTTCTGCAAAAGGCCCAAATGGCCACTGCCTTTGCCCTCCACTAACTAGGTCATCCTTCCGAGGAAGAGGAAGTACTGAGTTTGGGCATCTCCTCCTCAGAAACAGAAAAATTCCCTCCTGACAGCTGAATTGTCCAAGGAGAGCTCCCCTGACTTTCAGCCTTTCGGGAGGCTGCGTGCTGCTGGGCCCCGGACTGTGCATTGAAGTGCTGCAGGGGATGCCACCACTGGTGCTGGTCAGTCCCTCCCCAAACTTGCTGGGGCCATGATACTGTCACTCCCCTAACTCTGAGGAAGAAGCCAGTCCATGCTCCAAGGGACAAAGCACCGGCTCAACAACCTAAACCCAAAACTCTCAATTCCTAGCCTGCTTCTGCCTCTTCTCTGCAAGTCCCCTTCCTATACTTCCTACTGCGAGGGGTGGTGGGGGAATCAATATCCAGTTACTCCACCATTAAACTACATTCCTAGTTAGCACATTTCATGCCCCAAAAGTCTGATCTTAGAAGGAAGTAAGTTTCTGGGATAGGGGTTGAGCAAGAGGAAAGAGCATTCCAGGCCGGATGTAAAACAGGATCACTGAGTTGAACGCCCCAGAGTAACCTCGGGGCAGCTGAACCTGTTGCCAAGTCGCCCTACAGCTGCTAAAATCCACGCGCTCACGACGACACTCAACCTGGGCTATGCAAACTCCAGCCCTTTCCCCTTTTCACCAAGTCCCCACCCGAGTCCACGAAGGCCAATCCTTGGGGTCAGGTGAGTCCTGGGAGTCTTTGAGAGCGTGGGAACAGGAGTTCCCAAGAGGTCTCTCCGAGGCAGCCATTGAGGACCTCCTGACGCCGGACTCCACGCAGGAGCAAGCCCGGGCCGGGAACGAGCTTTCCTTCCCCGCCCCCTAGCCTGGCTGGAGAATGAGGGACGCCCTCCGGGTCCCACACCTGGCTCCTCTCCTGCTCCGTTCCGCACCGCCCGGTGCGGCCATCTTCCACGCCGCGGGCGCCAAAGCCCTGGTGCCAGAGCGCCCCCTTTGGGGCGTCCCTGGCTCCGGTGAACCCGGTGCAGGAAGCGGACGCGTGGGTCCCAGTGCGCGCGCGGCAGATCCTGCACGATTCTCCACCGCTCGGATCTTCACCGCGGCGCTGCTTACTTCCCGTGGCCTCATATCCGACCCCCACAGCCGGTTGGCCCACCTGTCCCATGGGACAAAGATTAGGAGCAGGGATGAGCACAGTAGACACACCTTCCCTTCTGGGCGCCCCCAAGCTCCATTCAGCGGTGAAGGTTTGGCGCCCTGGGACTCAGGGCTCCTGACTCCCGCCTTCGGTAGAGAATGGTGGCGGGAGAGCTCCCAAACCCTTACCGTGGCATCTTCCCCCGCGTAGTGCCCGATGACCCGCTGGCCTCCTGGGTGCCGGCTGGACCATTTGGTGATGTTGTAGACCTTGCGGTCGATGACGAGCCACTTGTCCGTGCGCAGGTTGTGCTTCTGAATCTCTTCCCAGCTGAAGGTGGGCATCGGCGCCTCGCGCTCAGGGGCCCCCTCTCCCTGGTTCCCCCCCTTGCCCATGCTGACTACCGACCGGGATCCCCCGTGTATTGCAGCCAACCGGCACCGATGGCCCGAGTGTTCGGCCGGGCACTCCTCGCCTTCGGCTTTTGTCTTCTATCCCTCCTCCCACTGCGCCCCCTCCCCCAACCTCCTTGACTTTGCTTGGGAGTGTGCTGCCAAATATCCCTCGGAATATCCCTGGCTTCCCAGAGCCCCCAGGCAGTCCCCTTCCTCCGCCCCGCCCTCCACCCGCCAGCCCGCGATGGACTTTTGCCACCAGTAAAAACTCTCGGGTGTTCAGAGACTCGACGCCTCCTCTGCCCGCCCCTCTGGCTCCCCCCGTCCGGGGCTCCGCATCCTCCCGCGTTCCCCGCCGCCCGGGTTTCCACAGTGATCAGCAGAGCGCCTGCACCAATCCGGGCGCGTCGCCCCGCCTGCCATTGGCCCAGGAGGATCTTTCGAAGGCTAGCGGGCCGGAGCAGCGGTCCCTGGCTCCCCCGCCCGCCAGGCCGCGCCGAGTCGAGCCCTGCCTCAAGGCCGGCTACGTGTCCGACCTTCTCCCTCCCCCTCGCCTCCGCCCGGGGCTCAGGAGCAGATCCCAGAAGCGCTGAAAGGGCAGGCGGAGGCGGCAGCCAGGCTCCGCGCGCTCCGCGGCGCGCGCGCACTCGTCCCGCGCTCCCTGAGTTTGCACCTGATGCCTCACAAAGAGGGCTCCGGCCGGCAGGCGGGTGGGTGGCGCGGAGCCTCCCGGCTGGCGAGCTGCACTTCGGCGCTGGCTTGGCTAGGCGTCGACCTCACTAGCGTACTGCAATCCGGACTCCAGTACTCCACATTGACTGCGCTTTCCACACTGGCGCCTCCCTGCACCCTCCCTGTAGGAATGAGCCGGCTTCGGGCTCGTCCAGGGCCCTGAACCCTGTAATCAGACGATCTGAGAAAATCGCGGAACCTTTCTTTGCCTTGCTTCCTTGTGCTAAGCTCCATGGTCGGGGAGGAGAAACCTCCGCCGTGGGGGCAGTGGGGATGCGACTAGAACAGGACACGGTCCTTGCTTTGGGCTCAGGAAGTTCTCAACCTGGTTGAGGGAAGAACATGGAAGCATTACAGGACCACACACGATTAATTGGGCGGTGTCGTACAGGCTCCGGAAAATAAAGATGCGGGTGTTAAAAGGATAGGTGGAGGGGCAGGCCCCCAGACCTTAGGCGGCTGGAGCTGCTTAGATCACAGCCCAGAAGAGGGCTGAGGAGGAGCTCTAGATGCAGAGGCTGGCTGAGGACGAGTGGGAAGTTCCGCTGAGCAGAGAGGGGTGGGGTGGGGTGGGGAAGGCCTTGGGAATCAGAAGATAATAAGGGGCCCTCCGATCTCAGTGGGGTGATCTCTAGTCCCTGAGAGGGGGCCCAGTCTCTGTCAGCGTCTCACTGCAGCTGCGTGAGGTGACTAGACCCTATACTTGTTTTATGTAAACATGGAGGGACAGGTGTAGGAGAAATGAAATGGCCACATGCACAGGGGACAGAGCCGTGCCCTTCGGACCTCACACGGCCTCTCCTAGTACGGTCTGTTCAAAGGAACCACCACGGGAGCTTTGCTGGGGAGCCCCTGGCGCAGGGGTCCTGGAGCTGACCGGTGGGGACAGGCCGTGGGGGGGCCACGAGGGGGGGGCCTCTGGTGCCATCCCCCCCCCATGCTGAGCCTGCTTTGCAGTGCCGTCACTTCGAGCTGGGGTCCAGTTCAAGTGTCCTTCACTCGGGTTGCAGACTCTGGGCAGAAAGAGAACAAGGCCCCTGGTTTTGTGGAGCAGGGACACACATGCAAACAGAAAGCCTCACTTCCGAGCTGGGAGAGGGTGCAGCAGGCACGCCGGGGGCTCTGACTTGGATGCCTGTTAAGGGTTCACTGAAATAGAAACTAAGACGGCGATTCTTTCAAAAGGAAGACTAACACAATACATAACTTGAATGAAAAAAAATGTTAAAGGTGGTGGACCTCACAGGAAGAAGCGCCCTGCGAGAGAGACGCAGGGGATAGCACGTGGCCAGGGGCTGGCAGGCTGCGAAGGGGGCATGTGAGAAGGAAGACAGAGGGCATGGGGTACGGAGAGGCAGCGAGGGTGTTCGGGGTGGTCAGGGCGTGTGGACTGGCCAGGCTGTGGGGTTTCCAGCAGACACTGGCATAGTGCTACTCAGAGCGGGCCCTGGGAAACATTTGCTGATGGTAGGAGTGAAGGAATGAACGAGTAAAAGAACAGCGAGGAATGGTTCTGGTGAGGGTTCTGGTGGGACCTGCCGTGAGCAGGGTTCAAATCGGGGAAAGCCTCGCGTGTCTAGGTGAGGATGGAGGACTTTATCCTGGAGAAGGCGGGAAAATGCATACAGCAGGAACGTGCCAGGACTGGATCTGCGGTGGAGAAGGGATCTCTGGAGGCAGGCTGGGGCTGGGACCCTCGAAACAGCAAGACCAGTTCAGGAGCCACTGCAACTCTCCAGGCGAGAGAGGATGAGAGGGCCTAGACCCGGAGAGAACAGGGCAGGGCTGCAGCCCACAGCAGACATTACTGCTCTGCCCCTCTCTGCTCTCTTCCTACTCTATTATTTATTGCTCTCACCACTTGGACGGGCTGATAAAACTGTTCCTTTAGAGAAAACCCCATAGTGTCCAGCTGACCCCAGAGTCACCAAGAAAAAGGGGTGACCTCCAAGGGGGACGAGGTGTCCATGGCTTCCTGCTGCCTCTCAGAGTCCCTCCCCACTAACTCTGGCAGCTCCAAGGGCTGCAGCTTCCCTGGACACTTCCAGGAATTCGTTGCCATCATTGCACTTTGTCAGTATCTAAAGAGACCAGCCAACATGGCTTGGAGCCCAAGTCCTCTCAGCCAAGTAGGCAAAAGGCCGGGCAGGAGTGGAAAGACAGGGCCCATGGAGCCCATGCCTTCAGTCCACAAAAACAGGTGAGGGGAGCTCCTCATCTTACCCTCACAAGAAGTCTCTGATGTCTGCTGGTGGATGGGCAGGGTCACGGAAGGTCACCAGAAGGAGAGAAAGAGTGAAAGTGAAAGATGCGTAAAGAAGGAACATGATCCAGACGCAGGGCACCACATGGGCTGGCTGAAGCCGACTGCTCTTCCCCTCCTCGGTTGAGAGATATGATCAAGCTGCCCCTAATCTTTAAAAAGAAAATCTTCCAAGTCGACTTTTTCTCAAGTCATGGTCCCTATCTTTCATAGTCCATTCATTGTCAAATTTGGCGAGTGAATGAGTAGTCATCCCCGTCTGGGTCTGCTTTCTGTCTCCCAACCATTTCTTTGACCACCACCATCTTCTCTAATTCTGATGGGCTAGGGTGGGCAAAGAGCTCAAGTGATGGACAGTGCCTGGTACAGAAAAAGGATTCACTAGGTGGTGGTTCTTATCCTTCACATCAAGGCCAAAGGCGAGTATTAATACTCCCATCTGTGCGGATGAGAACAGATTGGTCAGGGAGATACCAGGTCTAGCCCTCAGGCGGAAGAAAGCAGCCTTGAATTCTAGAAGGCAAACTCTAGCCAGGGGTGTCCAACCAGTGGTCCGTGGGCCACACGCAGCCCAGAATGGCTGTGAATATGGAGCAACGCAAAACCGTAAATTCACTTAAAACATTATGAGAGTGTGTGTGTGTGTGTGTGTGTGTGTGTGTCAGTGTGTTTAATGTGTGGCCCAAGACAACTCTTCTAGCATGGCCCAGAGACACCAAAAGGTTGACCACCCCTGGTAAACCTTGCTCCCATCAAGCCTTTTAAAACCCTCTCTGAAAGGCCACTAGCAAGTTCAAGACCCCTCAGAGGCATCTGGCAAGCCAACCTCCCTTTGCTCTTGCGACTTCATGCTCCCTGCTTCTTTTACCCCACACAAAATGATTCTACTCTCGGGCAGCCCCTTGTGTGTTTCCTCTGTCCCTCTCCTTCCTCCTCCCCCTAAATGTTCATGCCCTTGGCTCACCCATTGTTTTCTCCCTGAGGGACCACATTTGGGATGACTCTGTATTTTTAATCTACACTCACCTCTTGCCTATGCAAAGCTGAATGTCCCCCAGCACCTCCAACTCAGCGTCATTTCCCCAAGTCAATGGACAGGTCTCAGCAGATGTGGTCTTTGGGTCCATCCAGGTCTAACCTTCACTGTTTGGGGTACAACCCAAATGTGTTATCTTCCCTCCCCAAAATCAGCCCTTCCTGTGAACTACTTCATTTCTATTCATGGTATCCCTTTTTTTTTACATTAAAAAAAAAAACACCTTTTATTTACTGACAGAGAAAGGGAGAGAGAGAAAACATCAATTTTTGTTGTCCCACTCATTTACGCATTTATCGGTTAAGTCCTGCATGTGCCCTGACTGGGGATGGACCCCACAAACCTGGTGTGTCAGGGTGATATTCTAACCAACTGAGCTACTTGGCCAGGCACCACTCTTCTTTCTTAAACTCAACCTCAGAATTTCAGCATGTTTTTTATTTCTCTTCTCCTGTCTCCCACCCATGCAAAAAAGTTGTGTTCAAAAGGTTCTAATTCTGACAGCACGTCCCATCTGCTTCTTTTATTCCACGTCCCCGCCACTGCCCGGGTTCAGTGTCCAAACACTTGGCCATCACCGTCACTGCCGCAATGCCATTTTGCTGAGCCCAGCTCTTACTGGACTTCTCCTGCTCATGGATTCCCATTGCCTACTGAATCAAGCATGGATGGGGGCAGGAGGAAAAGCATGTAGATGCTGATAATGTTCCCTGAAAGACATTGGCCTTGCCCAAAGCTCCAACCCAGGTAGCTAAAAAGATATAGGATGTCATCAGAGAGGATGCTGGGGGGAAATTACCTTCTACTTTTTACAAAATCATGGTAGGATCACCCCATGTAGTTCTGATCGTGAAGTCGACCAATGCCTAGGGAGGTGTGTGTCCTCCTGCAGAAGGATGCTTTCCGTAAGTCTGCAGCCGGAAAGGGGAACCGGAAATAATGAAGGCTGAGCTATGGGGGAATCAGATGATCAGACGTGCTCACCTGATCCTAGAATAACTCAAGGGGGGGGGCCTCCTTGAGACCCGGAGAGGGGACAGGGCTCCGCCACACCTATAAAAAGAAGGCTGACTCTCCAGGACGGAACAAGTGTAGGAGTGACCGGCTGCTGCCTGCTCTAGAATACTTGGGGAACCCAGGCTGGGGGATGAAGCTAATCTTTTTTTTTAT